CATGGCTTACCATGCTATCCATGACTAATCATTTAAAACTAACTTCTGTAAAGAAAACATCTTCCCTGAACAGGATAAAAATCAGTTTAAAAGGGAAATAATTTTTAATACCAATTACCAGTTGCCATGGTAATAACAAAGACTCAAGAAATATGTATTTTACTTGTCTGGTATAGACAATATGCTTCCTAGAAAGGTGTACAGTGAGAAAGTGAAATGTCTGTAGGAAGACAATACCAAGGTCAGATTCTCATTCTGCTGGAAGTTACACATTGCCATTGAAGTTGCATGCTGACACTATTAATTAAGCTTGGTTGACTCCTTTTCTTTTTTTCTTTTTTTAGGCAAATAATTGGAAAGTGAAAAATTCCTTCCATGGTAGAGAAAAATATTTTGAAATAATGTGATTTTCCTTGCAGTATGAAACTTAAAAAAAAAAAAAAGCACTCATGGTGACTCAAATACAACTATTCCAAAGGTATCAGAAGTTCTGCTGAAATACTTGTATATAGGTTTAATAAGTTTTTAAGGAAAAGTTTTTCTTGGCTGGAAACATGCAGTTATCTTTCATGTAGCTACCAAGCTTTGAGAATGTAAATCTTGAGTCCTTCATTACCATAGGTGTTAAAATTGCATGTATACAGATGTTTGCTTTAATACTTTCTCAAAATTCAGAAAAACAGTTGCAAGAATTTTAGAAACATGCAAACTTGTCAGTGGAAGTAAGGTCCAAAGAGCAAGAAATCTTCCTCAAAATGAATTCACATCAGCTGCTTCCATTCCTAAACACAATTTTGTAGAAACAGTTTTCACACGCTTAAAACACACAAGTTACCCACAAACACTAGCACTGTACCATAAAACAAGAATAACTTTAGAGGAAAACACAGCATGACACTAAGAAATCATATCTAAGCAATATCCCTAAATAATATATAAACCAAATATATTCTTCTATAGGAACAGACCCAGACTTTTTGTTGAGAAAAGCATGCTTCAAGCAGTTCCCCAAAACAAGTGATCAGAACACTAGGAAACCTAGGCACATATCTGCCACAGTCTTAAACATAACCTAAATAGGTTAAACATGAAAGAGCTATACAAAGACTGTAAATTAATGCCATTACAGTGGCAGGAAGAGTCTATAGTGTAAGATTAAAAATTATAAAAGTGATTTTTATATCCATCCCATTAAAAACAAACCTCTGTCCAGACAACACTCTAAAATTGCAAATGTGGTAACAACTGTATATATTTGTGTTCACCTTCCCTTGCCTAACAGTAGTTTAAATGTAGCTTGCAGATTTAAGAGGAAAAGAAATACAGAAAACTTTTGAAGGGTAAAATGGGAGGAGGTTTTGTGAGGCAGTGGAGCTAAAGGGGAAACTGACCCACTAGAACTGTTTTCTCTTAAATCAGGGATCTGTTCTTTTGATATGCTGATTGCTTTTTTTTTTTTTTTTTTAGATGACCTATGCTTGTCCCAAGAGAAGTCACCTGGATCCTCTCTGGGTTTAAAGATCATAAAAATCTAGACTCTTTCCAGTTCTTTAACTTTCCTTCAGTTCCTTTCCCTTCCTATGATACCACATAAGGTCTTTTGTAGATGAAAATGTCACATTAAAATAAAATGCCTTGCACTTTCTGAAGTCTAGCTTATAAATCACTGACTAAACTTCAGAGCCCCAATCTACAAAAGCTTTAGCTACCTGGTTACCCCTTCAGGCTGCTAAGCCCATGTGACATTGACACCTCAAAGTCTCCTGGCCATACCCAGCTCCCAGTAGAGGCAAGCATCCTTGTCACACCAGAGCTTCAGAAGGGAACAAAAATCCAGCATGTTTTGCTCCTTCAACCCTGACATCTAGTTTACATGGGTACCTACCCAGTGTGGATAATCAGGGGACCAGGATGAACAAGGATGCTAAGAGCACACCTGCTCCAGAGAATAAATACTGCCTATGAAGCTGCTGGTGCAATCCCTAACTCCTTCCAAATAAATCTTCCCCGTAGCACACCACTTGAAATTCAAAGAAGACCTGAACATGCTTAATGGCTTTACCTCTGTATTGCCATTGGCAGGTTGGGAAGAAGAAAAGAGGAAAGAAGGAAGATCCACTGGACCTCTGCTTTCAGCATCTCTCTTTGAGGCACCAAGACCACGAATGTTCAGGGTGATGCTGTTGGCTCTACCCTCCAGCTCAGGAGACTTGCAGCCACCTCATGGAAGGATGTCACAAAATGTTTGCTGTGAGGCCTGATGTTTTGTATTGTGGAAAAAGCCTGCAATTTTTTATGGGAAACAGCAAGCACTTTGAGAAATTAAAGGAGAGTATACCGCATCTTCCCTAGTTTTAAATAATCTATGTGATACTTAGAAATGAAGGCACCTCTGATAGTGTGCTCATGCGTTCTGTACTCTGGTGAGAGCTAGAAATTCTACCAGCCCCAGTTATATTCAGATTTTCTTTCCACCACATAAACTGCACGTTCAGAAGCACAGAGTACTAAGTCCCATGCTTTTAACACATTACTGCTTGCCACTGCAGAAATATTGGACAAACATTTCAATTATCTGATGAGACTCCAGAGCAATACCAAAAAATTATTACACCAATAATGTGAATTTTGTTTTCAATTTATTTGTAACCGATATACAAGAAGCTAATTTTCAGGGAAAACAAATAGAATTATTTAATATTTAATAATTTGTAGTTCTAATTTTAATAATATAATTTTTTAGGCGGATCTCTAATAAAAATGAATTATGTTTCATTATTTTTACTCAAGGTTTCCAATAGAATAACATGGAAATGATCAGTTACAATGTCTAAGCCTAAACACATCAACGAGCAGGACTGGGGAAGTTTGAGAAAGAACCTTTAGCACAGGTGAGAAATTCCAATATTTGTGAGGACCTGAAGAAGAGGTAATGGCCCCTCCTTGCTTCAACAGAAAAGAATGAAGATTGTCCAAAAAAGAATAGGTAACAAAGTGAGAGATGAGAAAATTAAGAAAGAACAGAAACAAGAAACTTTTTAACAACAAAAAAGAAGGAAAGCAACCAGACCAGTAATTAAATGCCTAGTAACAGAGTAATGAAAATCTCACCCTATAACTGTGTGAGAACTGCAAAGATTAAATAGAGGTGAAACAGAAAAAAAATTTAATCTGTCCAGTTCACTGTGAACAGGAAGACAAATTATTTTTCCCTTTCCCTTGCAACACCTTTTCTTTTCTTTAATTATTAAGGCTCCTTTACTGTTCTTTAGTTTAAACAAACCATGTGTTTCCTATCTTTCTGCCTAAGTAATTACTGCTGCTCTCTTCTGCAGTATCTCCAAGCAGTCTTTTTTTTTCTTCAAAAGTGATATTGCCAAAAACCCTTGCAACACAACTTTGGTTTTCCCCCAAAATACAAGATAAGCAACTCGTCTAGAAATGACTCACACCTCTGACCTACTGAATCCTGAAGAAAATGTGAGGTTCAACATGTTCACTCTGGTATACAAACACTGGATCCATTTTGCTGAGCATTACATGGGCAAATATGTTATTCATTTCCTTGTTGGTAAGCCCTGCCTCTTGCCTTGGAGGGGAGATGGCAAGAAAGGACAGCCAAAGGACATTCAAACGGAAAAGCAGGTTGAAACCTTTCTCTCCCATTTTCTCTAGACTCTCACCACTTTTCTCAGAAAGTTTCACTAAACAGAATCTAGTTCATTAATCAGTTAAGTGCTTTCCTCACATCACGTGCCAGGCATTAGTGTTTCACAAAACAACAAATTTTGACTATTTATTTACATCCTATGGCTCCTGACCACTGAAGATTTTGACACAAGCAGAACAAAACATTAATGTAATCCTGTAAATTTAATCCATTTTCTGTTGTATTGAAGATTAACTGTATTACATTTTAATCCATATTTTTTTGATTCTTCCCAAAGCCTTCCTAAATTGTAAGGAAAAAAAGAGAAGTTTTAGTAAGTGCTTCAAAGCCTGTTATGGATACAATAAGAAAACCAAGAAAATTTGGAGTCCTTTAATTCAGATTTGCCGCTACTACTACTGTCAAACTATTGGAAAAACATTACCTCTCTATGCTGGTACCCAATCAGGATAAAGGTAGCCTATGCCTTCCATTCAAGTTGTACTAGAGGATATATAGACTGATTTGCACCCCTATTTTTATATTCCTCTATTTTATATTCCTTTGTGTGTGTGTGAGAGAGAGAGAAAACTCACTATTTTATCAATGGTTTATTACAATAATAGTTATCTTGAGCAGAAAAATACACGTTATTAGATACGAAAAACATGGGTTTGCTGTCAGTTGGCTAGTTCGGATTCTGTAGAAGTCCTCAAATACAGCAATGTTACAGGATTTTTTATGAGCTCTTCACAGGATTTTGTGAATTGTAACTTGCTTGAAAAAGCCCTTCATCTGCACAGTTCTCCTGAGGCCTACCCGATTACTCTGGGTAACATACAGGGGCTATAAAGCATCTTCCTATGCACTCCAGCTACAAAGAGTTCTTGGAACGAGCGATGAGCTGAGCAATTTCAGCATAAGGAGAAAGAGGAACTAGACCAGACCGAATCTGAAAAGTAAATCATTAACACAAGCACTTTCTGTAGGCGAGTGTTTCACTCGCTGACTAGCAGAATTCTGATTCTTAAAATCAACACAGCAGAACAGAGGGTGTCGTACTAATGGCTCTGTTTACTTACATTACAATCACACTTATTCAATACATGACTAATGACTAAGTATACAGTGAATCTATAAAACCCAAGGACATACTGTACCCACAGGTGTTCTGCTTCATTATTACTTTGGAGCCTTATTCACTTGATATCACTTTGATTGGATGGTTTCTCTCAAATCTCCAAAACAGAATAAGACTTAACTATAACATTAGTTTACTGAACTATTTATTACTTTTAGTCTGGAAAAGCTACTGTTTTCATCTCAACAGAACTTGAAGACTCAAATCAAAATGTATTGTGGAGCTTATGTGAGTAGAATGATTTGTTCTCTGAAATATTTCAAAACTTTTGATTCCTCTTGAGTTCTCATCACATACGTTGGGATCCATTTCCCTCTACTGATAGAAATTAATCTCAGGTGAAGTTAATTTATTTGTGATTTGGGTCTAATTCTGCTGTTACTTACAGTATATATATCAAGTGTCTGAAATGAAGATTAAAATATAAAGAATTATCAGTTCCTGTCTCAGAATTTTAGACCTTTCAAGAAAAAACAATTTGAGCCTCCTTGTGAGGCTCTGTTTGTGGGTTTTCTATGCTTGCACTTAGCTACTACACAAGAAACTAAATTACCTACTAGCACCTAATTGTATTTAAAATAAATATGTGAATTTCTCAGAAGATACCTATTCCTGGTACTATTTTGAGGGGCTTATAACTTCACAAGACCATCTGTAACTGCATAAAGTAACTGAATAGATTTAACATTTATAAACATCTGTTTTTGTTCACAGTGTGAAAAATATTTTAAAGCAAAGAAATGCTATCTCTACAAGGGCCATAACTCATATATCAGTTATTGTTTCCCATCAAAAAATGTAGCAAGATACTAAATGGTTTCATTAGTGTTCTTTAAGAAAAGTTCATAGTGCAATTTTAAATCTCCATTGTGGAAGCTATTAGAGTTTCTTGACAACAAAATATGAAATTGCTCTCTGTACCTGGCATACTGATAATTATGTTCACTAAGGACTATCTTTTAATTATTATTAATAAGAATAATTATTCATTCTCTCAAATTTTTTTTCATGTACATTCCCAACAAACTTACAAATCAATACAGAATTTTCTAAAGGAGAAAATTTTTTCCTTACTTAATTGAAAGTATAATTGACTAATTAATCCAATCCTGTCAGTAAAGTATTTCATCTGATAAAATTCTACTGTATATATTTGTTTTTCTAAAATAATAGTTATTGAATGGGCATTATTAATGTGTTTGGTTTTCTGCAATTTGGGATCTCGCATCCTTTACTAGACCAGCTAAGAATTTAAAAGGGATTTTCTTCTTTGTTTCTTTTTTTATTCTCTTTAAATTAGAGTGATGCTGTAATCTATTTCTAATAATTAAATGAATACAGCAAGACTAAATCTACCTGACGAAGGTAGTAGATTAATTTCTGCCAGAGATTTCAAGAAATTCGGTTTCTTTTCTCCTACTGATTTATTGATAACAACTGTATTTAAATAATTGACACTGTATTTGCATATAGTATGTTGTCTGATATTAACAGTAGTACATTATAAAATAACTTACAGGAGAAATTCTTTTGCTTTTCAGTCATTACAATTGGCAATTATGATATTTGTAATAATAATAATGCAATATTTTGATAGTATTATAAAGAAATTCTAATACATTAGATGGTAATTCTTAATACTCCAAAATAGACAATGTTAATACCATCTCTTTATTTCCTCTTCTTCTAAACATAGAAAGGCACACCGATATGCCCTTTGTTTTTTCCATAATCACAGAAGTAAGAAAGCAGAGAAGCAACTGTAGACAATGGGGTGCATATCTATAACCTGATTACAGGCTTTCTCTGATGGATTCACAGGTTGAGTAAATTTTTTATTCTTTATTCCCATTTCCATGTGTTGTGGAGTAGAAAGGGAGAGAAATTAGGGTTATTTTATGAACTAGATTACTGGATCCTAACCAGTGGAGATTACCCTGTTGAGACACCCAGACAGAATGGGGACATGTAATGCAGGGCCCGTGTAAACATTCTCCCCTGGGTGCCTGCTGGTTCTTCAAGATAAAGTCAGTCTTGGAGCAGTGGCAGTTTTCTCAGAAGACACTCAGCAATAAAATAGCAGAAAAATCACTCTAGCAAATCTCAAACAAGAAAATAGGGCTTACACAGGACTGAGTGGTGAGGCTATCACATTAATTTCTTGTCTACTCTCCTGAAAGAGAACATTAAATTGAGAAGAAGTCCTAAAAGCACACTTTAGACTTAAAAATATTTTTTAAGGAATCCTCAAACATTGATATACCATTAATTCAGAAGCATAAGAAACATGAAAAAAAGAATTGGAAGCACTACTTTCAGAATGTACTTGGTTCTTTAAGATTACCTCTGTTATATTTTATGCCACCCATATTAGTAATTACGTATTTTATCTATGAATAACTGGATAGGATGGAGTCCCCCCAAGATCAAGAATGAGATGTACAAACTATTAACAGCAGCAGTCTTGCCAGATTCAGCAATGCAGGGCATCATCATTATCAGAGATTACATAGAGAAAATGGCTCCCCACAGTATCACAGGTAAAACTACAAGAAATTAGACAAGATGAAATCTGTGACCTCTGAAATACACATTCAGGGAGAGATGGGAGGCTTTGGAGAAAGAGTTTTCTATATTTAGAAGTATCCCTTCCACTATTGCAAAATTTATTTTTCAAATTAAACGTAACACATACAATAAACACAAAGCAAATAAAAATACTCATGAAATTTTTATTTAATAAAGTTGCACACAAAAGATATCTTTGCCAAAGTATAGCTGGCTCACAGCACATAGCTATGCAATAAAGCAAGCACTTTATTTCAGTAGACATTCCCTATGGGAAACATTCAGACTAAGGAGTCTGACTTTGATTGTTTGTTATCAGCAGACTGACTTACTGAACAAATATTATTAGAAGGTTGTTCATACTTCAGATTGCTTTTTCCATCACAAGACTGAATTGCCTGAACTTTACATAACATAATTTGATAAAAGCAGCCTCAGCTTTTACTGATACTTTTGTTGAATGCTTATGGCTTCGGTCAGAAAAAGCTGTAACTTCCTTGCTCTTGCACAGAAGGAAGGTAAATTGCGAATATCATTTTTTAGAATTATTATAAATTTTTCAGTCTCTTTCCAATTTATTTTGTTGTTTTGATTCATTCAACCAACACCACACAAACCTGTCTGCATTCCATCAGCACAGTTGACTGTGGAATCAGTTCCTTACAGGCGAGTTACATGAACACGTGTGAACAGAGAGATATGTAGAAAGTGCTCACCTGCGCCGCCTCTGTGGAAACAGATCTGTGTTTTTGTAGATGAGTACATGAGGAAGACAGCAGAAAGAGGATTAAAATCCTTAAAGTCAGAAATAACTGAATCACCTATGGAGATTTGTTTGCCTTACCTTTAGGTGCTTGGACACTTTGTGAGAAAAAAGCAAAATACTCTTGCTATTCTTCCTTCTAAACAATAGATACGCTCTTCATTAGGATGCTCCAGGAGAAAGCCAGTATGAAAAACATTTCTCCGTGCTCACATACATCATTTTGTCTAAACTAAACCATAAAAAGGCCAAATTGCCCTCAGAAATAACGTTCTTCAGATGCCCTTTGAAGGCGCTCTCTTTCCAATGCAGAAAGCCCTGCCATGCTGAATGCTGTGCTCACAATGGGTGCTCCACCAAACTGGTGCACATGTCATGAGAGATGCCAGAATCCAGATACCAAAATTAAAAGTCTTTTAAAATGTGCAATCCCTCACATCCTTTCAACGACTATACCAGACATCAACCCCTGGTTTCTTCAGAAAATCTGGCTGTATTTGTGTGTATTTGTCCATGTATTTGTTTCTTACCAGTGACTTGGAAGTTTACAGTGAATTTGTATCATATTTGGCAGAGGAATACAATCTCTTCTGAAGAAACCCGTTGTTATTAGCTGCAGTGTTCACAGAGGAACTTGTATCACAACACGTTGAACACACCTGATTTTGTATTTCAAAACAATATACCATACTAATATCCACAAAATCCACAATCTTGCACCCAACTTGAGGAACTGAATCTGACATTGTTTGGCAAGCAAAACACCTTGTGTATGCACTTGTGAGGATGGATATTTGTGAGTGCAGATAACTTGAAGGAAAAGTTTAGATTTCTGTATCCCGTCCACTGTACTAATGAATATATCTAAACATATGCAAATCTGGGAAGAGCCACAAAAAATTCATGAGTTTTCTCAAGGTTCACTATGAAGGTAGTGGGAACATGTAGCATATTAGTAATGAGGATATTTGAAGGATATCTGAGTAAGAGAGGAGTTACAAGACTATTCGTTTAACCATCATCTTGTCTAAAACAAAGCGTTACTGACTTTGACCAAGTTCTGTACATTTACACCAATTGAGGACCTAGACCATATTTCTTCTTTGCTTCTTATGCTTTTTATATCTGTGTTTCCTTAAGGCAATATTTATTATTAAAAAATTTATTAAAAATTTTTATTAAAAATCCCCCTCCCCTCTTTTTACAAATTACTACATTTGCCATGAGATGAATAATGAGCTGTCTGCACTGACTTTGATCTTCTCCCAGATGCTTAGAAGTTCAACTCTGCAGTTTTACTGTATGCCAACACCCCTTGGAAAGGTGTAGATACATTCAGATACAGATGAAATAGTGAACAGTTTTTTCACTATGGGATCTGTCCTAGATTATTATAAATAAAACTCATTTAGGGAAGGAATATTTTTAATGTGAGTGATTTATGACTGGTAAAAATAAACTGGCTTGCTGTAGCTTCCATACAGACATTACAGTTAGGTTCACTTAATATCATAGAATCATTTAGGTTGAAAAGACTTCCAAGATCATCAACTCCAACCATAAACGTAGCACTGCCAAGTCCACCACTAAACTATGTCCCTAAGTGCCCCATCTACATGTAAAAACCATAATTATTTAAATATTTAAATATCCATAAACAACAACTTTATTTTATGTGCAAATATCAGTCTGTCACTTCTAATAGTCAAATCTCTTAGGCTCCTTGCTCATTATACCTTTGCTAATTTCCATTTTTAGGAAATGAAAATGTATAAATAAATTGCACATGAAGTTCATAGTGGTTCTGAAAATTCTTTCCAGCATGATAACTCAAATAATCACAGTATGTACACTGGACAACAGTGATCACCAGATATAAATTTCACCAACACAGATTTCAGGTTTTGTGCCTGATCCTGGAAAAAAGTTTAGAATTCTTCAAAATGTATGTCTGGAATTAGTATACATCCTATGGGACTGACACACAGAGAACAATGCAAGTACCTTTATCACTCAATCCCTTATCATTGAGACAAATGGGTGTTTGATAATGTTTACTTATTTTAAAAATGTTATTGGAGAAATTTCTGTTACTTTTTTGCATTGAAAAAAATCATAGAATTATCAGATTGAAAGAGGGTTTTTAGGTCATCTAGCCCATTGTCCTAGTTAGGACAACTGAGACCAGTTCATCATGGTATGGGTGTAACCCAAAACTGTGTATTCTATAGCCTTCCATGCCATTTCCCAGGAACTGTTGTGAACAGACTGTTCGCACCCTCTGCCCATAGAGCCTGACTCCTCAGGCTATAAACTAGGTGTAAAGAGGCCTGTGAGATAGGAGGATGCTCTTGTCCTCACACCCTTTGTGGAACTCCCCGCCCTGAGGGAAGTACTGAACATTCCTGCCTGAACTGGAGGGTATATAATCTTGGAGTCTTGGAACATTTTTAACCACTCTGTGGGATCCAGAGAAAGACTGCAACAGCTCTTCCCCCAGCATCTCACTGCAATCACCACTTTGACCAGACTGCAACAGCTCTTCCCCCAGCATCTCACTGCAATCACCACTTTGACCAGACTGCAACAGCTCTCCCACCAGCAGGTTCTTCCCCTCTCCCTTTACTTTGGACTCAAGCGGGGCCCAAGGAACACCACGTTGTTCATGCCCCAGGGTACTGGGTTATACATTTGGGTTTGTGGGTTAAGACCAATTGTTTGTTTGTATGATTGTACTTACTGTATTATTTTAGTAAATTGTTATTCTGACTTATAATCTCTCCTTTGAGTTGAGTTCATTTCCCCTGCTGGTTAACTCTTAAACCAGCACACCCATCCTCCTTGTCAAAACAGGAGCCACACTAAATTCAGACCAAGTAGATTAGAGATTTGCCCAATTCAGTTTCTACAACCTCTCAGGATAGAGGCTCCACAATCTCTTCAGGCAACTTCTTCTACTGCTTGGTTATCCTCACAGTAAAAAAATGACTTCTTCATATCCAGCCAGAATATTCTTTGGTTTGTTTTATGACTGTTGCCTTTCATTCTTCATGTACCTCAGTAAGGCGGATGGCTCTATGTTCTTGATGGTCTTCCCATAGACACTGCAGAGCAGCTGTTGGGTCCCTCCAAAGTTGACTCTTCTCCAGGCTAAGTCAAATTTCCTGAGCTTCTATTCACAGGGCAAGTGCCCCTTCCTTTTGACCATCTTGGAGACCCCCTACCATCCATTAACAAGCTCTCCTTACTTTTCTCAGCAATATGTAAAACAGTTTTACTTATTAAGGGCACAACCTAAAAGCTCCCTGAAATCAATAAAAAGACCTCCACCAATGCTGTCCATGAGATGTGGATAAAGTTCTAGTATTAATAATGTTAAGTGATCCAAAAATGTCTTTGGTCTTCTCAACTTACAAAAAGATTCCTGTTACTTCTGAATCACAATTTTGTCTTACTTGTGTGGGTGGGTTGGAGAACATTGTATTTAGAGAAATGATATTCAGTATGAATGCCCTCAAGGGTTCTGACATCACCAAGACAACCACGATACAACTTTCACTGCTGTAGATTTAGCTTTGCCATGAAGTGTAATTCCTGCTCATTCTGGTAGTGACCATCTTAAGGTACGTGAAAGAAAAGTCACAAGATCATACTATTAGCATTCATTGGTTACAAATTACATAACTTGTTCATTAATTACTAATCAAACCACTACATGCTAGCTATACCTGTTGCTTCTCATGCTAATTGTCTGTATGTGCAGTTCTTACCTACCTTTGAGTCTGGAGTCTACTTTGAGTCAATGAACTGGTGGTCATGAACAATGAGTTGATGGTCATGAACTCCCCCGAAGGAATTACCCTTCCCCCAGTCACTGCTCAGTTACTTCTCAGTTCTTCTTAGTTATTCTCAGTTGTTTTTCCTTAAAACAAAAGATTAGCCAGGCATGCAAGATTCACAATGCAATTGCTTAATTATAGCTTGTCCAGCTATAGCTACTGATTAACAGCTAAAAAAAATTTCAGTTTTGTTCAAATCTTGAGGCACTCAGACCTTAAAATTTCTGACCATGCACTCTTTTCCTCAGTTAGCCACAATTTGTTACCCTCATGAGGAAAAGATAATTTAAAGTTACGACTGTTAGTTTTCAAAAGAATTATATACGCAGTGCTATAAATGTTAAACACCTCAATTAAAGTCTGCTTTCTCCTTCAGCAGACACAAGGAACGATTTTTCCTGCTCCGAATTTTAACCCTATTATGGATGCCCAGTTGCTAGGAGGAGCCCTACAGGGAATTAGTAAGTATTCTGATCTATTTCCTTTTTTTCTAGAAAGCTCTCATAAAACAACAAGCATGAGGCAAAATAAAAACACATTAAACAAATTAAAAGTGTCACTACCTATCTGTTGATTCTTCAAGGAATCACAATAAGACACACTGATGATGTCCAAATAAATCACATATTTCCATTTACAGGAACTAAGAGATGATCAATCTAAAGTCTATACCAACACTTAGAGTAATGAACTCTTCCTTGAGAAAACAAGAAAAAGAAAACAGAATCTGTGATATGTCACTACAGTGAAGGCTGAGAAACGAAAGGTTTTTAGTTGTAACTTCAACAATTAACTGCTACCAAGGTCTGCTAACTATTAATCAGTCATCAAGAAATAAAAATAAATGGAGTAGAAAGTTTAAAGAATTTATTATCTTTGACACAGGAGCAATCTTTGCTTTCAATGTATGTACAAAAAAACTTTTGTTCATCAAAGCATTATTCTCTGTTCAGTTTTTTGTTCTCCTGTAGAACATTGTTGCTATTGCTAAGAGTCAGAATATTGATCTATTTTTTTACTATCTGAAACATTTTCCTCACATGAAAATTGTTTTCTGTATCAGAACTTTTATATGCCTTGGGCTTTTCACAAGATTGTACAGCACCAAATCTTGCATTCTGTTTTCAGTTTCTTTAATGTAAATGTGAGGACTCAGACTTAATGTTAAATGAATCACAATGAGCATTAAAGATCAAGGGGTATCTGAAGTATCTTTATGTTGGCTACAGATGAAAAGTTTCAAACATTTTGCTAAACTTCAAAAAATACTTTTAATGCAATGTTGCTAACATGAAAAGGCAGAGATGATATTCTTTATTTAATACTGTAAGTACAAGCACATTAACCTTACTTTCAGTGCGGTTGTGACAAACGTGGGTAGAGACCTTTCCCTAATCTTCGTTCGCGAAGCCCAGCCATGAACCTTACTTTCAATCTACCTATCAGAGTACATGGAACAAAGTTCTAATTTCAAGGACAACTGGCAAAAGAAACAGTTCAGTTTCAGAGGAGTTAAAGTCATCATATCCTTTACAGGCACTGACACCCTGACCCCGAATCTTGTACACGACATTCATTCTTATGAGGAGGTTCAGTCACATACGATGTCCCACTGATACCAGCGTGATTACAGAAATGAATAGAGCTATTTATATTTCTAAATATTTCCTGGATCTGGATCCTTCTTATTTTTACTTTAGAGACCACGTAAGCCATACAGATTCCTGGTGATAATTATTTTCTGAAAAGTAAAAATAAATCCTTATGCACAGTTTCAGTAATACTTCTATTTTATGAGTTTGATGGAAATGAATCAGCCCAATGTTAAACTGGAGTCTTGCTAAAAACCTGGTGTAATTGTGGCTAGATGATCCAGCAGAAAGAGAACTAAACCTGCGGCATAAAGAGCACTAAACCTGCGGCGTAAAGAGCAAACACACAACTGTTCCTCTGCCAACTTTAAAAAAAAAAGTATTCAATGCCCAGTTGCAATTGTGTCAGAATGGAACCTGACAGTTATAGATTATATGACAATAGCTGCCTTACAAAGGTGCAATAAGTACAGAATGTGTATCTGTAACATATGTATATATGCCCATACAACAGTGACTGCTAGAAACTTGAGACATTATCCTACTCCATTCAGATGCTAACTGAACCCCATGCTTCCCAGTCCAACTCATCTAATCATCACAAAGTCAATTGATTTACACTTGGGGATGCATTTATGCTGGAATGTCACTAAAATGCTCAGCCATCTGAAATTACCAAAAGTCAACCTCTGGGATGCAAAAAAAGTTTTATAATTCTAAAATAATTTTCTGAATATGCTAGTCATCTTCTTTTTCACAAGCAATAAATAATGACTCATTATAGAAGTTTAGCAGTATGCTCTAGCCATCAAGCAAATGATCACAGATAGCCTTCAATAAAATGTCTTTGGAAATGGGGTAAAATACAGGGGTTTTTTAAAACTTCATAATTTATTTTATACAGTTCGTCTGAAAATATAGCTGGCTTTTTCAACTAATGGTCTAACCACAATTTGTCATCCCCATAAAAGAGATCCCTAAGCCTGAAATGACTATTTAATCAATATCAACAGGGCATACAAGTATGACTTCCAAGGCTTAGCCACAAATCCTGTTACTGTGCCTAGTTCTGCATAAATGAAAGCCTCTATCTGTTTTATGGATGCTTTCAAATCCATTGAGCTTGAGAAAGGTGATGATGCATCTGGTAATAACAGACTACTTCACCTTTTTATGGTATTACACCAGCAAGTGCAAGATACATAAGCAGGGTAAATATAACTAATATTGGTAAATACCAGTGGGATATTAGTCTATTGACCTAACTTTTTGAGAAATTACTATAATCTTCTCGAATAAAACACGAAAAATCACAGATGTAAGTAAATAACAACACACTGCTAATTTAGAGTCTGTGTCATGTTTCCTTTACAGGTTGTGAAAAAGATGTGTTGATTGATATCCTAACTCAGCGTTGCAACTCCCAGCGGCTTATGATTGCCGAGGCATACAGGGACATGTACGGCAGGGTACGACACAGCCACTTTGTGCTTTCATTTACTTCTTTCTCTCTTGCCTCCAGTGCAGCTGGTCAGCTCTTCTCTCAGGTCAGTCACTGGAACCAAAAGCCTGTCAGACAGCTGGCTGGCACCGACAGGTCAGCACACAACTTCGCTTGTTGGCTATCAGTACCTCTGACAGTATCAGACTGACATTTACCACACAGTAGAAGCACGTCTGCCACACAGAGTTAGAAAAGGACATGATAATAAAATAGTATTGTAACCAAAGAAAAACATCATATGAACAGTTATAGGCTTTTTTATCTTACATACTGATTAATGTTCTCATCTCAAGCACTGACATTCTAAGGCCTCATTTCATGTAAATCCATCCATACACTAAGCACAGTACTCAGCTGCTTAATGTTAAATTTATGAATCTTTGAAAGGTGTTTAAAAAATTTTAAGACATAAAAAGTTAGCCTTTTTTCAAATGTAGTTTATCTATCTTTACTGTATGTAACAATGTAATTTTTGTTATATGAATTCTTAAACATACACAGAGATAGATATCCTCACTCTATTTCCATATCTACTATTGATAACCAAATAACTTCAGGAAAGTTGCAATGCCTGCATTTTCCTTAGTTACACCAGCTATACAAGGGCAAAAAAATAGCAACACCTTTTCCAAAATTAATGTGAAATCTACTGATGAAAAGTTCTGTATGAAAATAAATACTGTTGGATTAAATTGACTAGACATGCTCTTCCCCTAAGAGAAGCCAGGCAAACACAACAAAATCCAGTTTTCTTCTTTCCCTGAAGCCTGTAAAACTAGCAGCTCACTGGAAAATTCCTTTAAGGTCAGTGTCTGCTTGCCATTGAATCGATCAGCGTGAATGAGAACAATGAGCTTGCACAGATGCTACCACACAGCCATCAGCCTTAATTAGAGTTAATCAGAAATGGTTCATTCAAAAACTCCATATGATGTGGCACTGTTACACCACCAGTTTGTTAACCGGTAGAACAGTGTATTTTTTCCTTTAGGTAGCCAACATGTTTTCCACAGACAACCTTTGTGCCAACTGTATATCAAAATACCTCAAAATCATTGATTCCTAAATATGTTGAAACACTCACTCTCCTAGAACTGGGAGCAAAAGAGCTGGATTTAATCAGTGTAGTGGGTTGATTTTGTGTTGTTACTCATCTCTAGGAGATCATTGACTTTATTTGGATTGTTAGCAAAAATCAAACACATAATATTTGAGATACTTTAGATGTAGCCTTGAATGGATGAGTGTTTTTTGAACAGACATTAAAAGAACAATAATTGAATCACAGTTACCCACCTTCCAAAGACTGCAACAGTGATTGAAATCAGCGCACCTAAATGATTAAAACTGTTTTTCTACTATGAGGTATTTATTAGGTTACCATTACACTTGCAAACCACACACCTTGAACTGCCGATAATTTAGCACACCAGTGATAGCACTTCCCTGGCTGTGATCTGTCCTAATGGTTATATTGCATTGAGCAAATGTGCTATTTGGCAGTCCCAGTTCATGAGTGGTAAACATTGCAGGGCATAGAAGACATGCAGTGAGGCAATAGCAGTTTTAGCCTTCTCACTTCAATTTAAAGTAAAACTGGTGGTCCAGTCCTCTTCCCTCTTAATTTCACTTCAGTCTGCTCAATATGGCAGCCGCTATGCCCATTCATTAGACAACATCTTAGAAGGAGAGAAATATAAGAAGAGGAAAGAAAGACCTGAACTAGCTGCATGATTCAGACATACAGAGAACCTTTAAAACTCCTTCCTACAATTAGCCTTCAAAGACTTTGTACAGCAAAGATGATTAGGAAATTAAAATAATGACAATTTAGAGTTGTCTTTTCTTATTTTTTAATACTTCACTTCCCTTAGCTCTGATTGCAGGAGTAATTTTTAAATAGTATCCATTTTTATTATTAATCCATTTTCCCACAGGCATGTTGTCAGAAGTGAAATGTCTTAATGAATTAATTTCTACTCCAGGTGTGATTTAGGGGTTGTCAAATTCATCTAATGTGCATTCACTGAAGACTGCGTATGTTTCTTCAGCATAAATTTAATTTTTAATGTGTATTTGTCCTCCTTCATTGCTACTTTAGCTATTAATTTTATTCAGAAATATATCAGTTATATTCAGAAATGTATCAAAAGCAAAGTACAGGCCTGAAAAATGTGCAGCTCTGAAAATGTAATAGTTTATATCATGGGAACCATTTCAATTCAGACTTAGATCAGAACATACCTGACAGCTGTCTAGTGCTGCACATAAAATACTAAAAAAAAAAAAAAAAAAAGCATGCACAAGTATCCTTTAACAGAATCCCCAATAGTAAGTATCCTTTAACAGAATCCCCAGTAGTAAGCTAACAAGCTTTTGCATTTGCAGTGTTTTGAAGGATGCTACCGGGAATGGAGAGAGTGAGGAGGAAACTCTGATCCATTACTCAACTATTTTGCAAGAAAGAACTGAGACACATGAGGGGGAAGAGGGAGGTTCCTTATTATTAATCCAGTATCTGTCAAAAGTAGTGAATTTATTTTAAATATAAAATATTCAAAAGTACATAACCTTCCAGCAACTCAAAGCAGGTATTTTTATGTACTAGGAGCAATACAGATGATTTTTTAATTTATTCACATGGTGAGTGACACTGAAAAAAGCACAAGAAATCACCTGGATTCTATGTGATTCAATTTCCAAAGGTGCTTACCTCCCACAGATTTGCACAGGGAATATGCCAAGGAAAGCTGCAGATGCTCTGCCATGATATTCAGTGTTCTAAAATTTTAAGTAGTAGTTGCACTTACAATCCTGCATTTTCTTCTGTATTCTAATGAACCAGAAACCAACAAACCATTGTGGTCTACTAGTTTATGCATCTTTTCTTATCTTACCCATACTAGTAGAACAAGCTGGTACTATTTAAAAGAACATTTTTTTCCTAATCTTAGCCAGAATTCATCTTTGACAGTCCATCTTTATTCATTTACAGAGAAAATCACTAATAATTTTTTAATCTGTCTTAATAAAGTGCAACTATTGAAATAATCCTGTCTATGCACTTTCTTTTTCTTTTCAAGGATCTGATAACAGACCTAAAAGAGAATCTCTCTCATCACTTCAAAGAAGTTATGGTTGGCCTGATGTATTCACCTGCTTCCTACGATGCCCACGAGCTCTGGCATGCCTTGAAGGTAGTTGTCAAATTCAGAATTGCTTAGAGTTGCAGTCACTAATTAGAGTACTGAACATATGTTAAATTATTTTTTTTGACATTTAATTGGTTGATAAACTGCTGGAAGTTAGTACACTAGAGTAGTATACTACCACATAGTATACTAGGTCATCAGAAATACAGTGCTATATGAACTTTATTCATCGGTATGCTAAAACCAGCAGAAATAATATCCTTGTAATGTAACAAATATAACCCATTTAACACCCACGGTAAACTCAGGATATTAAGAAATATTATACAGGGAAATGTAAGGCCCTGTTCCTGCAAGCTATTATGTATGCTAGAAATCAAATTTATTTGCACACCCAGTGCCATACACTAAGAATCCACCTCTGGAAACACCAATATTTCTTTAGCAGAACATGTCTTTGCATAAACATTTACAAATTACCCTGTGACAAAGCAATGATCACTCCACTCAAACTAAACTGATTGCCTATTTCGAAAAAAAAATTTCATTTTCTTCACAGGATCTGAGACTGTGCTCCTTACACAACTGAAGCTTTGAAACAAAAATATTTTTTCACATATCATGTATAAATATGTATATTATATTTATGTATATAAAAGTGAAATCCATTCCCACAGGGCACTGTGGAGGCAAAAAGCACAAGTACTTCAATAATCTCTTTGAAAACAGGTTCACTGTTGGCTATTGAAAATAATCCTTCTCAGAAAATTCCTGAATAGTCCATTCCTGAAAGATAGGAAGGTATATCAGAGTTCAACACTGGTTTTTTTTCTTTCCATGAATATTTGCTACTGTCCACTGTAACAAATAAGTCACAACTTATACGACTTTGTGCAAGATGATCTATCTTGACAATTTTGAGATTCCCCTCAAAAAAAGAAAAATATTAACACTTCTTCAGACTCTTAAATAAATGCACTTTGTAGAGCTACTGATACGTTTTTATTACAGTTGTCATTAAAAGAATTGTGAAATATCTTTGTTAACAACAGAATCATGTCCTTTATTAACATTATTGACAAGATTGCCAAACTTTATTTTTTTTCTAAATGTGGCTCGAAGTTGAACTTTCTTATAGTATTCTATCTTGGTCTGGATTTATATAGCCAAAGTAAAAAAATAGGTCGTGTATCTACAGGTTCAGGCTCAATGTCATGTTTTCCCATTATCCCAAATGCAGAATACTCACCAACACTATACATGTGCATATCAAAAGCAGCATACGCACTGCATCTTACGTCAACTCAAGTTTATAAAATTAATTCAAATCCTGCGTCAAAATAACAGTGATTTGCAGCACTGAATGCATGGCCATGATGCTTTCCTTAGATACTAAGTTCTATGGTAGAAATTTACAGACTGTAGCATTCCTAAATAAATTAAAAAAAAAAAGAAAAAAGAAAAAAAGGAAGAAAGAAAGAAATAAAGAAGGGTACGATAAAAGACAAACATAATAGCTGTGCTCACGTCTACTTCAGATTGCCTTAATATTTGCTGGGGACGTTTGCTCAATCTTTGCATCTGATTTCTTTCAGCAAATCCTAAATTCTTACTAAAGCTCTAAAATCATTCCCATTATGTTTCCGTCAACACTAGTCTTGCTTCATTCCTCACTCGCTATATACATGCTGAAATTCAGATTAAGTAAAAATATATTTTAAATACAGGGGTTTACTATTAACATGCACTCTGCACTGCTCCAGCAGAGACTGCTATTCTTTTGCTACTTCTGATAAGCACAGCACTGCTTTCCTTTAAAAACTGTGGTTTCTCCTACACATCTTTTTGTATTTACTTCTTTCCACACAGGGAGTAGACACAGAAGAAAAATGCCTAATTGACATATTAGCCTCAAGATCAAACACGGAGATCTTCCAGATGAAAGAAGCCTACCTAATGCGTAATGTTTTCTAACAAGTGCACTGTAGCAGCTGTACTATGTGTGCTCTGGACATATTAGCACACACAAAGGAGGAGAACTACAAAAATGACTCCTCAATACTGACTGGTTCCCTTCCCCATCCCCTCCCCGACTATATTCCAAAGGCTTAAACAACGTGGGTGGGTGGACAGGCAAGTGGGGACTGCAGCTGAGGGCCCCCAGCAGGGCCAGGCAAAGTGCCAGCCCCATGGCCAGGTCCATGGAGAACCTGCTCAGGTTCCAGTGGAATAAACACCATAGAGAATGGACAAGTATTTGAATCCTATTTATTTATCCTTTGTTTGATAATCTTCATTTGTACTATGCAGAGCATAATCATTTGTGATTTTGATTACACGTTTTTGGTTTAACCTAGAATATAATACTGATCTTCAACAAGATATCAATTCTGAGACTTCAGGGCACTTCAGAGATACCCTCATGAACCTTGCTCAGGTACTGTAAAACCAAGTAGTAAGATTTACATTTCTAAAAAATTCATAATAACTTTTGATACTATTTGAGAAGTCTCAAATTTTAAGGTGACTGTGGTTAAAGCTAGTTTAATAGGACTACACTTCCAAAAAAGAGGAGGGGGGGCAAATCAGATGAGGGAGAAAGTAATCTTCTCAGACTTTGGCTATCAGATGGAGGCAAAGGTTAAAAGGTTATTTTATAAAGTCCCCTGATTATTCAACTGCTGATCCTCTGCTCCATCTGTCTCTTCTCAAAAGGAGTCTAGTTGCATGTACAAATGAGATTGTTATTTTTAAAGCTCTCTTTTCTCCATTATTAGAATATATAATCCAGTTGAAACATTATGTGAAAATGGAGACATATCCACATTTGACTAAGAAATAAAGTATTAAAGAGATCTCTGCTTTAAATATGATGTTCTTTGTGCTACTGCATATGCTAAATCACAGCATGTTTGCACAGAGGCAAAGTGTCACTATGACACACTAACTTCTGCAGTTTTACCAGTTTGTAGTTTTATACAACAAAGTGGTCATCCTTGCCAGATCATAAGCTCCCACTCTCATTGTAGTCACTGTGCTCATTATCTTAAAAATCTTTTGTAATCCAGAGTAACAACTAATGACAAAGGCACCGCAAGGAAATAACAGCATACATAAGGTATATCTGTATGTAAATATATGTATGTCTGGGGAAAAAGTTCCTACTGAGATATGAAAGAGCAGCAGGTTTCACTGAGGTACAAAGAGCAGATGCATCAAAAGTAGAAGCTATAAACAGGAAATATTTTTTTCTCTTTTTTTTTCCCTAATAATGAAAATTCTTACTTGCTTAAAAATTAAAAGCTAGAGGTTAAGCAACCTCACTTCTCATCTTTATTAAAACCATATTTTACCCATCAAACAAACTAAATTTAAAATAATCTAGGATTATACATTATTAGTCCTTATTTTCTTAAACCCCAGGCATTGATAAAGAGGTCTAAAATCAGCAACTTCTTAGCTAATAAGATCTGCTATTTCTCTCAAGACAAGGAAAAGCTGCAGGAAACTTCAACTTTACTCCATTATACTGTCTACTTTTGAAGATTGTTAGTCAAATCACCCATGTTTGGATATGATCTTATATTTAAACTCAGTGATATTTTATTAAAATAGGTCCTTTCCAGTTCCTTTACCATGCAATTTACAGAAGATTATTCTATAGCAACATTCCAATGCATCCTTTAATGCTTTTTTTCAGAAGCCCTTTGCTTTAATTTCTATTAAATCTTGGGACTGATGACACACATATCTGACTACAGTTGGAAGTAAATGTGCTCCACATATGGAGAGCAAACTATTCAATTACTATTGTGTTGTATTTACAGTTTTCAAGTCCAGCATGAGGCAGATTAGAAGTTATAGTTTATAGTCCTTCTTAAAGAAAGTACAAATTCAGGCTGACTAATATTCTAGTCTGAGATGAACAAAATATGATAATTTTCTACAATTTAAAACATAATTATACAAATGTTACTGGGAAAAGTGGGCATTTGACTCATGCAGAGTATTATTTATGTTATTGTTCACTTGTCTTTGTTTCCTGTGTTTTCTTGTGTATGTAACTTTATGCAGTCATTCCATCATAATTTACTTCAAGTAATTTATCTTATTGCTAGGAATTTCACTGTGTGAAATTCTTACTGTTTAATTAAAATATAAACTAACATTTTTAACAAGAAAGAGCTACAAATCAGTCGTTCTACAAGATGACAGCCAATACATAATTTTAATTCTCCCTTTCACATATAAGGTAAAATACTGTAAATTTTAAACTAAACTGTTTCAAACACATATTAAGGCAGTGATTACATGAGCTTGAGATTGTTAAGAGTTCTGCAACCAAGGCTGATTTCTATCCTTACAAGATTGCTATGGTCAAAAAAGCAATTCCAAGAGTTGTGTGCTCTTCTCTTTTTCTAACAGCTATACAATTCAGTTCATAGTGTGCTTATTAAAGAATTTAGCTCGATTTGTGTAACTGAAAAGCTATTAAATATATGGGAAAATTAGAAGTATTCTTCAGTGTTTTGTGTATAAAACTTGTCAAATGATTTCTTAGTCTTGGTTCTTAATTTTAGACAATGATTGAGCAAGCAAAATTTCCATTATTTGACGAGCTTGCTCCTATGATTTGCACAGGGAGAAAAAAAATTGAGAAAAGATTCTTCTGGTATTATGTATATTGATAAGAACTAATCAGTGAATGGCAAATGTTACTCTTACCCTTATTTTCCCCTCAGAGTTACATATTACAGTAAGCAATATAATATCCATACTTCTGAAAATGGTGGTGGGATGGTGGTGGTAGGTTAAAAGCTTATTTAAAATGGGACTAAGAATGGGATAGGTTTATCCAATTCCCCCATTTTTCACTCTCACGACTGTCATTCCAGAGTTCCTCTTATTAAAGAAAATGAAGATATAATGTGACAACTTGAGGCTATTTTCTACATTTGCAAATTCAACCATGGAATATACTTTTCCAATCTAAAAGCCCATATATGCGAGTTAGCTTCATACAGAGATAACTGTATATTCCTACAGTGTTTTAGGATTTAATTTTTGAAGAAAATGTTATTTTTTTTCCCAGGGAACAAGGATGGAAGGATATGCAGACCCTTCTACGGCTGCTCAGGATGCAATGGTAAATATGCTCAGATGTGAACTTCTCAAATATTAAAAAAAGAAAAACTTAGAAACTTGGAAAAGTGATTTAGGACTGACTTAAAATATTTTGCATGTTTTTTCCTTTTTCTGGTATACTAGATTCTATGGGAAGCATGTCAGCAGAAAACAGGCGAACACAAAAACATGCTGCAAATGATTCTCTGCAACAGAAGCCACCAGCAGTTGTGGATGGGTAATCCAGCAGTTCAGCTGTTTAGGCAGAGTGGAAAGGAAAAATCTGACTTGCTAATAAAGCCATGCTTTGCATACCAAGACACTCAGTGTGCAGCAGGGCATTAGCCTGAAACCTAAGTGTGAACTGTTGGAGCTCAGACTCCCACTGATGTTAATGGGATTTTGGAAGTGATGCAAAACTGAACTTTGCCTGATGACTCCTGACAGCTGTAGACAGAACAGACAGGCACCAGGATGCCTAATAACAGAGGGAAGAATGCATGACCAAAGAAAGGCAAATGCTATGGCTGCACAGAATTTACACATGACACAACAGGATGAAGTGGTTTTTCTTAATGATTTTCTTCATTTTCCCTAAGTAACTTTTGCGAGGGAAAACACCTCAGGAGAGGCAGATGGAGTATTTTCAACAAATGTTTGTATGTGAAAACCCATTGCTGTGTTGAAGCTTTTCCCTGGAAGTTTCAAAGAAGTTTTTGATGGGAGCACTTCAGTGTGTACATCCACTCTCCCATAACAAAAATACACACAGAAACACAAGGGCCATTTTTATTCAAAATAGAGAATCAGACATAATTGCAGACTGCAAGAAATTCATGTGAGCTCATCCAGATCTTCCACTGTAGAAAAGAAACCTATAGTATCTGTTTGGTGACAAGTATGAGTTTTTGCTCTGCAGTGGAAAAACTGTCTGGTGACAAGTTTATCACTGTGCAGCCAACTGTATTTCTTATGTCAACTGCTAACAGTAGCTTAGAGTTACTTTGCTATCATGGATCAACAAATTCATTCAGCTGGTGTTGATAGGATTAAAATAATGTAACACACCTGCTTTATGTTCTGCTCTCTTCCTGAGATTTGAGGGCTCTGCCTGTACTGTAGTCCTCCACAAGTTTTGTAGTAAGCAGTGAGCTGAAAATTTTCCTCCTTCCCTAAAGGAGAAAGCATGCTCTGTATATTTGTATGTCTGGATACACACATTATGCAGAGAGTGTCCAGGTCTGGATAGTGACATGTTACACATGTCATGCAAGCCAGGGCTTCCTGTCACAATCCATGAATCTCTGGCCAGTTTTAGTCAAGCTGAGCAAGGAACTTGCCTTAATGACCTGACAGTCTTATGTTTCATAAACAGATGTTGCTAGATGGAGAATTTATTAAAGCTTCCAGTGAAACAGGGGCTGTGGCATGCATTCATTTCAGACTGTAGACTGAAGAACCCAGGCAGAGAATCTCCTGGAAGCCAGGTTTCAGGCTACTCATTTAGATTGTCTTACCTGGGGAATATAAACATAATGAAACACTGTGAATAATAAGGCAAAAAAATGAACTCAATAGTTATAGTACTGGGGGGAGCAATTAACTAAAAAAAAAGCAAACTGATCATTATTAATGAACTAAAATAAAACAAGGGGTTTTTTTTCCCCTCCAAGTTTTCCAGGAGTTCCAAAATATCTCTGGGCAAGACATAGTAGATGCCATTAACGAATGTTACGATGGATACTTTCAAGAATTACTGGTTGCAATAGGTAATGTAATAAAATTATTTTTACTAGCACTAATCTCTTAGTAAATATCTAGTATGTTATCTCTTGTGCATCAAGAATATTATTTTCTGATATTTTTATTCACTTTAATCTCCTACATTGTGCAATTAAATTCTCAGACATAATTACAGAAGAATATTTTAACTACTTTCCCATGTCTGTGTAAATCCAAAAATGTATCCATGCAGCACAAGCTCCTCACTGACCAGAACTAGTATTTGTTCTTTATTTTGTAACAAACTTTGTGTGATCAGTGATAACTGCATTTCCAACTGATGTTAAAAATATTAAATAATTGGCAATGTTTTCAGGACTTTGGTGGATGTAAACACGTTTCAAGCTTTATGTGCCTTTGTTCTTCATTGACAGAATAAGAATAATATTTCAATAAAGAAGTCATTTGAGTGTATTCACTGATATTTAATAACCCCTTTGATGCAACAGCAATGTGGACTCACCCAAAATAAGTACCATATTTTAAAAATATCAAATACAGTTATGTTAGTGAATATTGGTAGCTTAATTTTAAGCTGAGTCATGAAAAGCCAGCTTTATATTTCAAGGAGCCCAAAGCCAAAAGAAATTATTTTATAATAATTTCCTGTTTATCTCTTGCAACTCTTCTCTCCTAGTCCTCTGCATTCGGGACAAGCCTTCCTACTTTGCTTACAGGCTTTATAATGCAATTCATGTAAGTAGTCATTTTTGACACGTCTTAAAAATCAGATTCCCTTTTTTATTTGTTTGTTTGATCATTCTTAAACAAGTACTTACAAATCACTCTGTTCAATCTTTGCATGTTTTAAAACTGTTGGTACCTATATAAATTTCAAAGCAGTAGTGCCTAAGCTACAGTTAGCATTTGGCAGTAGAGGGTTAAATATTTAGATACCTTAAAACAGTATCTGTCTGGTAACTTTGTCAATTTTTTTTTTAATTGAAAACATTTCTTTTCTATGGACGGTATCTCCCCCTGCTGTGCAGAACTCAATGTGCACTTTTCCTATGATGTAATTTTTTGTCTGTGGAGATTTAATAAGTATTGGTAAAAATTAAATAATAAATTAGTGTTACATAAAGACAAATGGTTATATTTTCTTGTGGGACTCCATGCAGGTTCTTTTATTTTTTGAGTAAGTGCTAATATACTAAAATAAATGAGTGCCAGGGAGAAATGTGGGTAAATGCAAAGAAACACTTTCAAATTCCTCTTACTAGGGAGGAATGTCACTGGAGACATTTTCTTTTGGTTTTCATTCATTAATGAAAATAATGATGCATTATGTTTTATAAAAACAAAAGTATAATCTTATAAGGCTAATCTTTTAAGTATAATCTTTAGAAGATTGTCATAAGAGTAGGCCATGAGTAAGGATCACCTAAGAGTAGAAATGACACAGGTAGGAATTCCAAGCCAGAAACATCGAACAAAACTTCCGAGCAACACTCCAAAAGTGCCCCAGTAACCTCTGCCAGATGCTGCCACTACTGCTGTCCAATGTTTCAGCTAAAACAACAACTGTGGCAGCAAAGAAACAAGAAAAATCCCGGGGTCTGAAAGAAAGAGGCAATATTTTGTCTGACTTGTCAAAAGGGGATTCTGGTACATGACATGAAAAAGGTTTGCCAAAACTACCAGGAAATATCAACTATCAGGAGAAGTGATATTTCTCAATGTTCTGTATCAAGACTGCTTTTCAAGTTAAAACCTCCTTTCCAATTTTAAGAAATATCACATAAATAGCTTTCTTCTATATTATATTCAGACAACATATGTGATACAGAAATAAGGTTTTAATTATTAAGAATAAACCTCTACATTTTGTTTTAATTAATATTTTACTATATTTTCTCAGTGTTTTAAAGAACACAGAAAATTCGCAAAAGAAATGTAAGAATTTAAAATAGTGTCTGGTTTTACAGCCAAGCTATATCCATATTAGGTCAAAAGCATTTTATACATCAATTTATAATACAATATAATAAAACCCACCCACAATTCAAATGCTTGAAAACATAGTCCATAATGGTTTAATGGTTCATAAGAAAGATTTTAATCTAGCCAATCAAACATGTATCAGATTTTCTACATGCAGCTTTTTAACACAGTTCACTTGTTTTTGGAGAATAAGATTTCAGTATCAATGATTAGCTGATAAAACTACAATTTAGCTTTAAAGAATCTAAATTGGTCATCAGTTGTCCCAGACCTAAACCTGTTTTGACTACTTTTATTGTCACTAGATGTCCCCATTCTCCACAGAATTACAATATGAAAATTTATTTAGAAACAGAATAAACACGTCTGAACACACATTATATGAATTCTAAACCAATGGTTAGAAGTCTCACTGAATTCGCATGTGGCAGCAGTTCTTGTGAAACACATTATTGGCTTCAGCATAATTTAAATGGACTCCACAATGACAGTCAAAACCGCTACACACAAACTGAATTCCTGAGACTACTGACAAAAGATCATCAGATTTTTGTTGTTAAAAGTTTTGGTGCATGGATAAAACACTGGCATGTGGGCACTCCTTCTTATTCAGTAAGATAAATTCTATCATTTGAGCACATGAAAACTCTATAGGATAAAATCCTTGAATGTTTAGACTCCTTTAAAGTCTAGGATACCTTTATGGATATATCTCATATATCCTATATACCTTCCTACACTATATAGATATATCTTATCTTTATCTATTAAACATTATTATGAACATATACAGATAAGCAAACACATATTGCCCAATTGTCAAGTTTCCGCTCATCTTCTCTTTTCATTTCAGGACTTTGGGTTTCACAATAAAACAGTTATTAGAATTCTCATCGCCAGGAGTGAGATTGACTTGATAAATATACGGCAGCGATACAAAGAAAGATATGGGAAATCACTCTTCCATGACATTAAAGTAAGTTTCTGCAAACTTTTGCATATATTCAGCACTGGCATCACACAGACTGTGCAAAGCCCTACCAGGAAAATACAGAGGGTTAATCTCCATTTAACCACTTGGTTTAAAAAAAAAACAAAACACAAAACCAAACAAAAAAAACAATGTATAAAAACAACAGAGAATTTTCAGTGCCTTGGTTTGGCTTCAGTAAGCGAGTAGTGAATTCTCAACTCACTCCCTCTCTGTGATTTTGTCCCTCCCCAATGCAAGAGGAGTATATAAACAGGGCAGGACAGTGTGTGCTGAGGAGTAGTTTGCATGAATGGTTTCGACACTAATTGAAAACATCTTACTGTTACCTTGCTGTTCTGCAAGGTTAGGCTGATACCACTTTTGTGCAAAACTGAAATAAATATCTGGTTTTATCCTTATGCTTAGACAGCACTTTCACAAAAACTATTCCTCTTGTACTTTTGGTCTGTATCTTAAAACAAAAATTTAAACTGTTTAATTGTACAAAAAAAATTACTCTTGCTAAGACACTTTACTTTTTTTATATCACTATAATCCAACTGCAAGATGCACAGCAACTTTAAGAAACTGCTCAGGATTTTTCGGTATTGAACTTAAGAAGTAATAAACAGATTTGATCCAGCATTGTTTCTAGGTGCCTGAGCAACTAAAGACCAAGGTATGTGAAATTAAAAAAAATCTCAGCCTGTAATCCTTATGAAAACAGTGTAATATCTTATAAAACCGTATAGCAGTCTAGTCCTTGTCATACACCAAGAGAAGAAAAATTCAGAAAAGGTATAGTTACTGAAATGTTGATTTTTTTTTTTCTTGCAGCATTTTGCATCAGGGCATTATGAGAGTGCTTTACTTGCTATCTGCGCTGGTGATGCAGAAGATTATTAAGTAAGAAGACGAACTTTGAAGAGTGCAAATCTATTTTAAATAGAAATTGAAGCTATACACAATGCAGTAACTGTAAGAGATCCCTACCTTACATAATAGATCAGCAAAATCAGTACTATACATCTGCTAATATTAAATCTTTCTTGAGGAAAGAAAAAGATATTGGTAGGAAGCTGGTTTTATTCCTAGTTCTAATTAATATTTCTGGTTTTATGATTAATGTAAATTAATGAAGCAAGTGGTAAAATTACTCCATGTAAGCATATGTTTATCATTTCGTGTCACAACACTCCAAATATTTGTCAACAGGCTCTGGAAGAATCTACTCACTTCCACACTGGAGTAAGAAAAAAATATTTTGCTTTCTTTAATTTTATCAGCAGGATTTCTTCCTTTAGGTAAATTTTTTCTGCTCTTTCCTAGTTCTTATAGCTCATATTTTCTGCTCTTGAACATTATTGTTTTAGTTACTATCAAATCAAGCATCTGCCCCGTCTGTTATCAGTGACTCACCAGAATCCTTTAGTATTCTCTTTCATTTGGCCCACATAGTTCATGGCATTTCCCTTATTCTGTTTGAAACAAAACAAAAAATTAGAATCAAGTACCCAAACCATTCTTGATTCAGTGCCACGCACTGGAAAACCCTGGAAAGTGAAACATTACTTAGCTTTGAGCAGAGTTCCATGGAATAAACTCTGAATTCCATCTGTACCTATTTCATTTTAATCATTAATTAAATATTGACCTTCAGAGCATGGAGGTATATCCAGGATGCCCTGGGTGGTTTAATTCAGGAGCAAACTACTAATCGATGACACTGCACCTCCAAATGAGGCTGAAGATGTGGCGCTCCCTGGAATACCTGCAAACACAGGCTGACAACACTTGGTGACAGCAAGTCACATCGCAAGGAATAAAGACAGTAGAGCTCAGCCTTGAGTCCCCGTTCCACAAGAGAACGTGGCGCTGCTTTTTAAACACCCCGAGTCTATGGAGGGCAGCCTATCCATGCGACTTCCCAGCCTGTGTGCACGTACCTGCTGTCAGCGTCTTACGGACATAGAAATGAGGGAAAGTGTGGTAATATTCACTGAAATATCTGCCCTTAGTTTTTGGCCTGCAGCCACAAGGTGTCCGACCGGGAAGAGCCGTTCTCCATGTTTTTACACGGGCACTTCTGCAGGTGCAGCTCAGTGAGACTGAATAAAGCACTGCTACAGAAACCTACAAATATCTGGTTGCTTTGCTGCCGCCTGCTCCTGTCCTTCCCTCAGCCGGTGGAATTAACACTATTTGCAGCGTTATCTGGCTTCTTTGAAAATACTGACTTCACGTTACAACTCTATTGATTTATAATAAACTTAAAATTTCATTCGAGTCCCTCTTGAGTTTAATTAATTTCAAAACATTTCGAGCGCATAGTTTAATTGTTAAGCCTGAACTTTGGGAGGAACGGCTTTGGGAGCAAAAAGAAACTAAGGGGAAAAAAAAAAAAAAAAAGAAAAATGAGCTGAGCACCGTCCCAGCTTCTAAACACCAACACAACCCTAAACCGAAGTCCTGTTCTGATTTTGCAGCTGTAGCTAGAGGCAGCTCGCTACAGCCGTACATCGGCGCTGTGGAGTCACTTCGTTTTACCCCTGCACACCCGCAGACCGGAACGAGGACACATCCCTGGACCGCAAGCGCCCCGGGCTACCGAACTTCCCGGCCGGCACGCGGGGCGGGAACTCCGCGCAGAGCCCGTCACAAGATGGCGGTGTCGGCGCTAGGACCCTGCGCGCTCCGTAACGCAACTGCCCGCGCGTCAAGCACGGGGCGAGCCCCATAACCCTCCGCCCCACCCCCCGTGTCGTTGCCTGCTTTTATTGGACAGCAGCGACGTCAATCTCAGGCCTCCGCCTATCGCCAACGCGGCTCTCCTCGCTCCGCCCTCTGCGGGCGGGTGTCGCTCCTTCGGGAGTTGCCGGCTGGAAGCGGCGCTGGAGGCGCCGTGTTCGGGGGCTTTCGGGCTGCTCGGCCGCGGCCGCAGCCCCTCGGTGCCGCCGAGCTGGAAGCGGCGGGGCAGCGGGACGAGTCAGGCCCAGAGCAGCAGCAGGAGCGGCGGCCGCCCGGCTCCTCACCGCCGCCGATGGAGGCGAGCCTGACGTGCGCCGTGTGCCTGTCGCTGCTGGAGGAGCCGGTGACGCTGCCGCTGTGCTCGCACAACTTCTGCCGGGGCTGCGTGCTGGAGTGCCTGGCCTCGGCCGAGGCCGCCCGCCTGCGGCAGCTGCAGCGGGGCCCGGAGCAGGCCCGCCTGGGCCGGGGAGCGCCGGGGCCGGGCCCGCCCTGCGCCCGAGTGCCGTGCCCGCTGTGCAGGAAGCTGTGCCTGCTGCCCCGCGGCGGCGTCGCCGCCCTGCCCGTCAACACCACCCTGGCAGAGGTGGTCAAGCTCTACCGGTCCGGCGCGGCGGGCGCCGCCAAGACCGGGGAGGCGGCGCCGGGGCCGAGGCCGGGGTCCGACCTGCTGTCCCCGCTGGCGCTCGGGGGAAGCTGCCACAAACACCCGAGCCGGCCGGTGCAGCTCTACTGCCGCATGTGCCGGCAGGCGGGGTGCGGGCAGTGCGTCTCCGAGGAGCACCAGGGCATCTTCCACTCCGTCAACCTCATAGACACGGTGTACCAGGAAGAAAAAGTAAGCCCGGGGCGTCCCCTCCGCGCCAGGGTCCCGACTGGGAAGTCGGGCTGTCCGCTGGGGATTCCACCAGTCACGGGTTGTGTTTACTCAGAAACGCAGGGAAAACCGCAGTGTGGTGGTCAGGAGAGAGGCAGAGGGATTGTGCTGGTTCGAGCCAGAGTCAGGAGTTGTTCATGTCTGCCGGGGTGTGCCTTCCCCTGCTGCCGTCACACTGCATCCACCACACAGGGGACCAGGCAGTATTACAGTATGAACAGATCTGAACCCAGTTTACCGAAGCACCTGGAGAGTTTTTGTTTCGGTTTCGTTTTTTGTCGTTGCTTTGGTTTGTAGTGGGTTGGGTTTTTTTCATATAGAGACTTGCGGTCTTTGCCGAAAAAACACTGATGCTAAGAGTTTACTGCATGTCTGGATCCAGTTTTTCCAAGTTCAGGAAGATGCCAGTCTTACTAACACCACCAAAATCCACCTACAGCTGTTTTGTTTATAGGTTCTCTGAGCTGCCTTAGTAATTTGGGTCATAGATAATTACATATTTAGGAATAGATAGTTTGGGTGAGTAATAATTAGATAAATGTAAAACCAAGATGCCTTCCAGTTTGCATGAAGGAAGCAATTGCCTGGCCTAATGCTTGGTTGGCTGGTTGTAATGGTTGTGTTTTTTGCCAAAATATTAGGATAGGATGAGCTCTTCATGCCCTGTTCAAACTGGGTGCAGGTTGGCATGTCATACATCAGTTCTGCTGTAGAGTAATTGAAACAACTGCATGGTAGTGAATGAAAAGTACTAAGTACAGCACTGACTATTCTTTAAGACAAAAGTTGCTTTTACACTGATTTTTCTCCTGCCTTTCCCATCACCAATTGCGTGTCAATCAGGAAACCAGGGGAAAACAGCCTTTGCACTAGACATCCTACATAAAATTTAGTGATACTGTAGCAAAAAATCTGTGATAATATTAGTTTAAAACAAGATGTCTTGGTTGTGAACAGCTTTCTATTATTTGATGTGAGGTATAAAAAAAAAAATTACTATCACACAGTTTGTTGTCAAACTGGAATTAAAACTTACATTGTGATAGATGTGTGTGAAGGGAGAGGTTAAAAAAAGGTTGAGTAAAACAATATTTTAACTATAAAGCAGCCATTTCAGCAGTACGCATTGTAGGTAAGCCTAAGAACGTTACTTTGAGAAAGAGCGAAAGAAAGTTTGTGTACTGATCCAGGAAAGCATTAAATGTTTTAAGTGATATTTTGAATTGCGACCTTTGTTTCATACGTTGTACAAAATATCACAGAATAGTTGGGAGGGACCTAACTCCCCTGCCAAGGGAGGGTCACCTAGAGCAGGTGACACAGGAATGCGTCCAGGTGTGGTTTGAATGTCTCCAGAGAGTGGAGGCTCCCCAACCTCCCTGGGCAACCTGTTCCAGTATTCTACCACCCTCAGTGTAAAGAAGTTCTTCCTCACATTGAGAACTTTCCATGTTCTAGTTTATGGCTGTTGATCCTTGTTCTGTTGCTGGGCACCAGTGAAGAGTCTGGCACTATCCTCTTGGCACCCAGGTTTGAGATATTTATATGCATTAATGAGATCCCCTCTCAGTCTTGTCTTCTCCAGACTAAACAGGCCCAGCTCATGCGATCCCTCCTCATAAGAGACGTGCTCCAGACCCCTAATCATCTTTGTGGCCCTCCACTGGGCCCTCTCCAGTAGCTCTATGTTTTTCATGATCTGATTCTAGATAAAGACTGAAGTGTATTTGTGGAATGGATAAACTCATAATAAAGTGTTTCAATTGTCTTTCAGTTAACCTTCTTCAGCACTCTGAAACAAATGAGAATAATAAATGAGAAGCTGATGAATGAGATCTCAAAACGACCAAATGATACGGATGTGAGTTACAGATGCTGCATATTATGTGTGTGTGTGTCTTTGTTTCTCTTCTCATGATAGCTTAATCATAACATAGAGCATCAGGTCCTTCTTGTGGCATAGATGTCCTCTGAACTTACTTAGAGAAGTCAATATACACTGCTACTGCATTTGCATCTGTTCCTATGTTCTTGCACTTCTAGATGATGCTGAACAACGATGTGGAGATAATTGAGCTGAAATTTGGAGAAATTTTCAAAACTCTAGAAATGAAAAAACAGCAGTTACTAGAAGATGTTGAAAATCAAAGAGGTAAAAAAGAGAAAGAATTTCAGATTTGGAAGAAAATGAAAGAAACTCACAAGAAGACCATTGAGAATTTTTTGAAAGATTGTGAAAAGCTTGTCCATGAGTGTGATCCTCAGCGTTTCCTGGAGGTGATGGCCTTTTGTTTCTATTTGATGTCACTTGTATAATGAACTCAAATAGAGCCTGCTATATTGTAGGTTATGATTATGACTCAATCAGGAAAAAAAAATTTGATAAATAAAAAATAGACTAAAATTATTTAACTCTTCATACTTTATTTATAACAAAGTTTGAAAAAGCTTTCTTTTCAGCTTATCGGTGGTGATTTTTAGTGTATTCAGTAGACACTTTTTTTTCTTCACTAACAAATGAAATTAAAGTTGACTGTATAGTTGTTGCTGTAACACTTGCTGTGTTACGCTACCAGCTGTGAAAGTCAGCTGCCTTAGTGCAGGATGAAGAGTTATTTACTAGTACTGCCTTCAAAGTTGTCTCATATTTCTTTATTTTTCATATTTGTTTTCAAATACTTAGTGTATTAAGCACCTCCATTGCATTTTTAAACTTGTAAGATACTAAAAATGCTTTCTGGGGAAAGATTTGAGGCAGAACTTTTAACTTGCCTGTGCTGCACAGTGGAGTACTGTGTTGAGATACCTGAGCTAGGGTGATTATACTGATGCTTAAGCCTGCCCACCAAGGTGTGCAATAGAGGTAAATCAGGCTTTTCAAAGCTAAGCTTTGATACTTCTGGCATACGCTGTGCCTACGTAGTATGTACACTTACGTATGGAAGACCCTGAAAGTCTTCATCATAGTGTTCAAGGGAACTGTGCCTTCTGTTCCTCCTCCACTTTTGCCTTTGGTTCCTTCTTACCCTTCTTACCTTCTTCCTCCCATTCCTCCTGTTCATTTTCTTCCTGTTCCTGCTGTTTGTTCTCTTCCTCTTTAACTTAGCACCTCCCAGCCTGCCCTCCATAACAATATATTGTTTTTCTTTGAAGATTCATTACAGCAAGATCACCAGGTTTTTATAGGAAAGCAGCTATAATCCAGTCAGTTTTTTTACTTTCCATTACCTGTTCTTTGGGAAGTGCCACTTGATTACAGTACAGTGCACTTCTTACTGCCTTTATCTGCCTGATTTAAAACTAAAACACAGCTTTTTAAATAGTGTAATAGCATATTGAGAGCACATAGCAGATGTTTTCCTCATCAAGAAATACAAAATAGACTTTCATTTGAATATTAAATAAATATCTGAACATCTGAAGTGGATTAGGTAACCATATGGATCATGATTTAAATCCCTTCATTTGGCTCCGAAGGAGTTCTTTTTGTCTTTAACACAGAATATTACAAGATAAACCATCCTAGGCTTTTTAACATTTGAATGGTTTGGGGGTAGTGGTTTTTGTTTGCTTGTTTGTTTTGTTATTGGTGTTGTGTTTTTTTGGTGGGTTTTTTTTAATATTTTAACAAGTTTATTTCCTATAGTTTCATGATATGAAGACAGGCAATTGAGTCTCTCATGTATTTTGATAAAGCAATAACCTTCTTTTGACAGTTGGACGAAAACTCTATCTTACAAATTCTTGTTTTATTTATAGGTTGCCTGTGGCTTGAATACAAGGTATATTTTAATTTTTTTCATGTTTTGTTTTCTGTAGTGTTATTTTAGATATTTTACATTAAAAACTAAAAAAACCAGTTACTTTGGATATCATCAGATAAGCGATTTAAAATGAAAATAGTATTGAACAATTAAGACATAATACTTTATGATTTTTGGATGTTCTGTATTCCAAATTATAGAAAGTGCATCAAGAATTTTAATAATTGACTACAGGGATCAGAGATAATCAAGCTTTTGAATTGGCTACCTGACAAAAAGCGAATATGGAAATTCATTAATACTTGGTGATTGGATATTTTTAGGTATCTTATTTAAACTCAGGAACACCAAAGCATGCTTGGACTTTTACAGAAATCTTTTAACTGTAAGTGTGTGTGTGGAGATTTTGTAGTGCCTTTGTTTTTGTGCTTTTAGTGTACAAAAGTACACTAAGAAAACTGTAGAAGGGTAATCCTTTTGCTGAACCACAGGCACTACTTCTTACAATTTTCATTGAGTATGGAACCTAATTCGAATGAATCATCAAGTAATAAGTTTTAAGAAAAAAAAATGTGAGGAACTTGACATTTTATCGGAGACTTAATTTTTCTGATTTCTTCTCCCTCCTAGTGATTTCTTTTTAAAATAATTTTTTTCATATTAGGCGGATGTAGTTTCATGGCTAGGCTTCACGAACGAAGATTTGGGACAGATGTAGTTTAGTTGGCATGTAAACACTAAGTGTTGTAAATTAGTTAGTTTTTTTTCCTTTTTCAGAATGAAAACTCAGCTTGACGTGATGAATATAGCATCCAGCTGGGAAAGACCACCAGTGTGTATGCCAAAGAAGATGGATATCAAATCTGTGGTTAATGAAATCATAGCTTTGGAGTTAACACCTGTTAATGTAGGCATTGTTAAAGGTAGGGAAGAAGGACTTAATGGAGACAAGATTTGGGAGGTCACTCTAGCAACCTGCAACTTGTGGAATCAGTTCCTAATGAACAATCTGCATGGCAGAAGCATGCGAGTGTTCAGAAAGCATCAGGGCAAATTAAATGGATGATAAACTCATTGAGGGCTTTTAAATGCATTTTATAAATGTGTTTTCTTTAGAAAGTTCCTAGGCTGTATTTTTGGAATCTGGGGGAAGTATACAGCCCAGTCATATACAGCCAGTATCGCTGCTGTCAGAAGTGTGTTGCTGAACTAGATGGATATTTGTTGTAGTGTAATGTGCATGTTGGCTATGCTCGGAGTAAATGGTTTTACCTCACAAGAGAAAGCATTGGATTGGGCCTCTCCAGACATTTGGAAAACTGCTTACTCAGGCCTCTGGCTTTATATCACAGAAGTTTCAACAACGACTAGGGTCTCATTTAGGGCAATATACTCTTGTTCTTAATTGGAATCAGTATTTAGGTACACAGGAGCCTTTCTGTGTTTTCCATATTTAATACACTCTCCATCCATATTCCTGTGTTCTTTCTAATAGGATTACCATATGAAGGAAATGAGAACTCAAGTCTGTTTAAAGATATCACGAAGCAGTGTCAGGACCAGAAGAATATACCAAACACATTTCTTGTAAGTTATTGATTATGTAGTCTACAGCACTACTATATCATCTGTTTTGGCTTATCAAAATGAAATATAATGCCTGCTGCAAAACATTTTTCAGCCTGTGGCGGGACAGGATGAAGCAGACGGTAGCAAGATCTCTACTCGTTTTATGTCGATATCACAAATGTTAGCATTTCAAAATATGAGTCATGAGGTATGATTGCACATCTGTTGTAAGTATGGCTGAGTTACTGTAAGTTATGATGCAACTTTCTAAATAACTGAAAACTGTTTTAAAAGCTTTTCTTAGTAGAAAGTTACCCTTCCAATTCTAGAATGAAATCTGACTAAGTATTAAAGCTGTCAGGATTTTACTTTTTTTTTTTTTTTTTTGTCTTCAGAAGGCTGGAACTTAAATCTTACTACTGGCTTCAAATACTTACTTTTATATTTTAGTGTGGCTTTTTGAGTCACATCTGTAACTTTCTAATCCAAATAAGCTTTCCTATGCTTATATGAAGAGAAAGTCATCTGCCAGTGTTCTGTTTTCTGAAGATAATAGAATTCTGTCTTCTAAAGCTGTATAATTTGAAATAAAACTGAATCCAGTCTCTTTTTTGTTCGGTTTCCAATGATGTAGTTACACAATTAGATTTTTTTCACTTACTAACAGTTCCATTTGGTTGGCTGAGTATTGTTCTGTACAGAATAATTTTGGAGAACATCTATTTTCTGTTGCCATTAAGAATGCAGTTTCATATAATAACAAAAACCCCACCACCCAAATTGATTTCAGATGGCTGTTTTTAATGAGAAGTTGTCACTTAATATCTAAGCTAGTATTTTTAGCTATTTCTGATTCTGATAGTGACTTTAAATACAGTTTCCTATAGTATCGTGTTTCAAAACCTACTTTGTCATCAGGATTCCTTGTGCATCTTGTTCAATTGTTTTTGAAGAACTTTTTTCTGTAATGACTTGTGTTCTGTTGCTTTCCAGTAGCAATGGAAAAATGCATCATAAATGCTATAGAATATATGAAAACTTTTCTTCAGTGTTAGGATCATATGTGAGTTTTATAACCTCTGAATCCACAAATGCCATTTTAGATAACGGGATTTTTTTGCTGTCATTGTAGGAGTTACGTTACAAATACTATATGGAACTTCAGAAACTCAACAATTTGTTCAAGACACAAAATTTACCTGCAAATAAAAAATATAAATTTTTAACTGCTGAGGCCTGGAAGGATAAGTCCTCAGGAACTCCTTTTGTATCTTCACCTACCAAAGCAAGTAACACAGATAAAATAAAAGTGGCAACCCTGCGAAGAGCAGGCCGCTTTGACAAAAGAAATTTTCTTGGAAGCATCCCATCCACAAATACAAACGTTTCTGAAACAAATGGTGACTTAAAATTGTTTCATGAGGGAAATTCCCAGGAAGTAACCACTCAAGACTCAGAGAACTCTAAAGACTTGTTAGTTAAAGAAAAGTTACAGCCATCCTCAGTTACTGTTTTCAATGAAATGGACACAAATTCTAGCACTTCATCAGGTGTAAAACCAGCAGCAGCAGTAGCTGTTACTGCTGCAAGTTCAGAATCTCTAGATATTTCTGCAGAGAGACTTTCTGGTGTACCTTTTACTTTCAGTGCAACTAACAACTCATTACCAAGATTTATTAAAGATAGAGCTATATTTTCCTTTAGAAAGCAAGACAGGAAATGTGCTTTCCCTCAGTTTTATCTAGGGAAATGTGATAATGTGGATAAAACTGATAACCGGGATAAACGTGGTTGTGAAACCAAAACCACAGTTTGTGATTCTTCAACCAGTCCTAATTTAGACTCAGCAGAAAGCGCAAAGCCATACATTTTGTTTCCCTTTGGCAATTCAGAAAGAGATTGGTTTGTACGATCAGAAGTCAGTAATTCATTTAAGGTTTTACCACCATCATCGTTTCTTAACCAGTCTGAGAAGCCATCTGACAAAAAAATGTTATCTCCCATGAGAGAAAAAACACTTTGTGCAAAAGAAACTGCAGAATATGGTACACAGAAAGCATCTGTCTTATGGGAACAAAGATCTCATGCCTCAGAATCCAGCACAACTGTAGCTTGCGTTACTTCAGAAACCAATACTGCTGCTGGGGTGAATGATGTCTCTGAATCACCCCTTCTAACCAATAATTGTGCATTTGCCTTCAAAAGTAACTTTCCATTATCTTCATCAGTATTTTCATTTGGAGGTATTGTCAAAAATACCTCTGAATCACCGACTACTTCTGTGGTTTTTTCTGGAAACAGAACTGAAAAAATGGAAAAGGAGAAGAGCAAATCTCCTGACAAAACACTTGAAAATCTAGGGAAGCCTGTATCCTCTGAGTCTGCAGAGCCTGCTTCTAGTTGTAGTCATCCATGTGAAGGCTCATGCTTTCCTGTGAACTCAGCTAAAAAAGCTGAAAGTGCAGAAATGCTTGATGATGATAATGCTTCCTGTAGTCAGCCTTTATGTTCAGTTATGCTTCCAGCTGAATATGAGAATACATCTTCCATTCAAATTACTACAGCAACAAAACAAGAAAAAAAGGTAGAAGATGAAGAAACTGTTTCTGCAAACAGCTGTATGCGTCCTAGGAGGGAAGATGAACTTGAGCCTGTACAGTTTCAGAATGCAGTGTGTTCTGTTCCTGGCACATGCAATGATCCGTCTTTAGGAGGTTCTGTGCATGCAGTAAATGAGACAGGAGGAATGCCAAGTGACAGCAATTCTGACACTGAGGAGCTAAGTCAAACATGTGTCTCTACTGATACCAACCACGCATCAGAATACTTTTCTGTTGCAGAAGACAAAATGTCTACTAGAAGAAAATCAGACATGAAGAAAGAGTGAAATAGAAGATAACTATACTTAAATAAACTAGAAATAAATAAATTCTACTTAACACTTTAAAAGGTGGGGATATTAGTGATTTTACAGCTGTTCTTCTCCCTGATTCTTGCCAGTCGAGGTATCAGCAAGTACAGTGCAATAAAGCAATATTTGTAGCGTAATCACAAAGTCAGGCAACAACCAAAAATGTCATGTCTTGATCAAGACAGAAGTATGTCCATAAATGCTGCATCTTCAAGGATGCAGACCTTCTGAGAAGTGCAATTGGGGCATGTTTGGGTGGTGTAGAGCTGAGGTGTCCCAGAAGGCAGGTTGGGTGAAGCCTCAGCAGCAGGATTGCTGTTTGGGTACAGCAGCACTTGCACTTGCAGTAGAGTACAACCAATAGCATTCACCTCACAGGCAGGAAGGGAAGAAAGCCACAGGGAAAATAAAGGATGTTAAAGGCATTACTGAAAATTGCATTGTGTATCTCACTTTGGCTGTTTCCTTTTCTGTGATGTATTTAATGTATATTGAAGGTGCAAATTCTAGTATAATTTCAATAATTTCTCTTGCACTTTGGAAATTGAAGCATCACATCAGTGTTCTTGTTACACATTGCAGAAGGGTGTCAGTTACGTTTCTGAAATGCTGCCTTTAGGAAAAGGAAACATCACAATTCACTTTCAGTTCCTTTTGGCAACAGCTTGAGTATACTTGGACGGATATTAATTTGCTGTTTTGATGAAAGCATTAGGAGAATCTAGCTTTTAAAACACAAAATCTTCCTTTTAAAATCCGTGTAACAACAAGAAAAAGGGAAAACAGCACTTCTTTCTGTGTATTAACGATTCAAAACTCATTGACTTTTTAGCCTGTGAAATATGATATAAAGTGAGGATAAAAAGACCATCTTTTCTACTTTATTAAGCCTTTTGTTGGATCCAAGATATAATTGTGCTTTAATTATTGGAATACACAGACAGTAGTACTATTTCAGAGTAAAGCTCTATTTCCTGTTCACTCTTCACCAAAAGCTGGTGCCAGATTTTAAATTAATTTTACATCAGATAGATATGTCAACTGGCAAGTATTAAATCAAAATGCAGAATGTTTAATACTCCTTCAGACTTTTTCAGTGGCAACTAGAAAAATCAATAATCTGCACATTATCTCTGTAACTTTATAAGAGAAATACTACTTAAATCTCTGCAACACTTAATATACTTACTGTGACATAGTACTTAGAAATACTATTGTTGTTCTAGGAAATGTTTACCTTACTTGTGTTGAATTCTTGGCCTCAATTTTTCTGTGGCAGTGCATTCCTTTATTAAATGTGCTGGGAATTTCTAGTATTTATAAAACTTGAATAATATTATCTTTCTGTCTGCATTATAGTAAGGAAGGTGGTAAAAATTCTCTTAATTGTCAGTTTTCTAGTTCTTTATGTTCATCTCTTAAATATTACTGTATTTCGGTTTTCTCCTAAGAATTTCTTTGCTATTATGTCTAGACATTCTTGTCATGTTCTTCTGCATGTGTAGGAGAGAAATGGAAAACAAAGGCTGAGTGAGATGATCATTGCAGAGATTGTCACAGATGGAAGTTGGTCTCACTCTAATAAAAGTGAGAGAAATGGAACAATTTTAGAGAGTCAGATAAGGCATCTATAAAATTTGTTGCCAGAAAGTTGTAGAAAATGTTTTTTTTCTGCTAAAAAAATTCCTAATGAGCTAGGGTTAATCCCAAACTTTATGAAATTTTTAGAGTATTACTTCTTTTCAATGTGAGGTGGTATAGAATAACCTCCATGTCCTAGCCATGCCCGCTCCTGGCTACTACAAAAATTCACCCTGTCCTGTCCAGAACCAGGGGAATCAGTGATCTTGGATGAACACTAGAGCCAATTCAAATAAACTATGGGATTCAGAGCTGTCCTTAGTGCATGACTGCTAATTATCAGTAGAGAATAACTTACATCACTCCCTTGGTCATTATGAAATTCGGCATGACGATGAGGATTGTTGTCAAAGCCTCACTTTCCTATGTTATCTAAACATAGGTATGTGTGTGTATATATTTTCAGATTACAGGTAGATGAAAAGGTAGTGTTAAACTGAAGCATTTGTATGAAAATACTGCTGAAAACTTTGCTCTTCCCAGAAAAAAAACCCAAAACAACCCACAAAAAAATGAAACACCAAGAAAAATAGTTAGAAAACATATTTTACTGAACTCAGTGATTTGTATTACACAGATTTCTTGACAAGTATGTATCGATGGGGAGGCTCAGAGACATAGCAACAAGACCAATGTGATCAAAGCAATGTCCAATTTATTATTTAAATCAGTTAACTTTTATACAGTTTAGTTTGCTCAGGGTACATGCTCACAACAAGATGATTGGATAGCTCAGTTTGTGCACGCGTCTCATGCTCTCAGTTTATTGGATCTGAGGCTCTGTCCATGCGACCTGAAATCATTCGTGGCATAGAAACCTCTTTCTAATTAATCTGCTTTTAGGGGTTTTTCCTAGATCTGCAGGTGTACTTTTATCTCTAGGTTCTCAAGGTTTTCTTACTATAAACATATTATGTTCTCAAACCTTATAATTAGACACACAGCTAACAAGTATAAACATCACATATTTCCACGCAGTCTATAAGTATAAACAATACACGTTTGTCACTTCCATGGCAAGCAAGGCCTACAAAGTGCAGGAAAAATTGTTCAGAGAAATCTCTCTGTTCTGGCGACAAGTATGCCATAAGTGTCCTGGATCTTTCTGACTCTTAAAGAGGTGAAAAATGAAGCAATGTGGTTGGAACTTTTTATTAATCAAACTTCCGTGTTCTCTTTAAAATTTTGTAAACTAAAACTGCAGACCAGTTTAAAAGCTTTTATAATGGTTCATGAAAATAGTACTATTCATGATTTAATAGAAACCTTGGAAAACAGAACAATTTCTTTTATAATTGCTGAACATCCTTCACAAAGGAGCTGAAAGTTTCTAATACTGTCCTACTGAGAGGCTAATCTCACCAGCTGTCAGAACTGTGACATTTGTTCAGTACATATCTGAGAGCTATCTTAACACATATGCCACTGCCTGAAAAAAAGTGCAACTGAAAGATAATGTATAATTACTTAGTTTTGTAATTTATTAAAAATATTATTTAGTTGACATTAGAACTGCTAAAATGTCAATTGGTAAAGGTTAGCTTCCTAAAGTAAACTTTTTATTACTAGTACTGATTATTAACTAAAGCTTTATTCTGAAATTTTACTTGGTAACTCAGATCTAGTAATTTTTTAACCTAAAGGCTGCTATCTTTGGTAAGAATATCTGCTGCTTTGGGTTTGGTTTTTTTTAAGTAATACGCTTCAGTTTCTCTTCATATTTTTCACCCAGTTGTTTAAATGCCAGTAGAACATTATCATTTGGATCATCACATAGTTCACTCAGACTTGTTCTGGTTTAAAAAAAAAAAAGATCATTGTTACATTTTAAGTTGCTTTTAAAATGAAATATATATTGTATTCTAAAAAGTACAAGTTCATCATACCCAACAGACTTAATGAGGAGTGAAAAATCTTTGAGGGCGTAGTAAGCATCTCCTTCATTTAACCTGAAGAAATAAAAAGAAATAATCAAATGAATATGCACTATAACTGTTTCACCTTTAATAAACCCAGCTATGTAGGTTGGGTAAGGATGCAGAGAGCACATTGCATGACCTCTTAACACTGACATTAGTTCATTAGGATCAGTGGAGAAAAAATATAAGCTTAATAATGCTGCAGAGGCTAATGTTTCTATAATTAAACATACAAGACTCAGTAATATTAGAAAAGATAATTTATTAATATTATATTTGGAGCATGGTTTCAAATATTGGAATAACTAACCTGTCACAAGCTAAACTGGAACACTATACTTCAGATGAACCTGCTGGCTAAACTGAGCAGGAGATTGTGTAAGCTTTCTACCAATGAGGAAGATCCTATATTTTGCAAAAAGGACCACTGATTACTATAAAGGAACTTAATAAACTCAGTTTCTAGTAATTGAGAAAAGCACTTTTTTTAATCAATATTGTGTTGAAATACTAGAATTATAGAAGGGTTTGGGCTGGAAGGGACCTTTAAAGATCATCTAGTTGATCACCTGGGTCAGGGCAGTCCCAAGCACAAATCCTGGCTGGGCAGAGAATGGATTGAGGGCTGCCGTGCGGAGAAGGACTTGGGGGGGTAATGGTTGATGAAAACTCAACATGACCCACCAATGTGCGCTCGTAGCCCTGAGAGCCACTTGTATCCTGGGCTGCATCAAAAGCAGCGTGGCCAGCAGGTCAAGGGAGGGGATTCTGCCCTAGTGCTCTGTTCTTGTGAGACCACACCTGCAGTACTGCATCCATCTCTGGGGTCCCCAACGTAAGAAGAAAATAGAATTGTTGGAGCAAGTCCAGAGGAGGGCCACGAAATTGATAGGAGGACTAGAGCACTTCCCCTGTGAAGACAGCCTGGGAGAATTGGGGCAGTTCAGCCTGGAGAAGGTCGCATGGAGACCTCATAGCAACCTTCCAGTATCTGAAGGGGGGCTACGGGAAAGACAGAAGGGGACTGTTCGCCAGGAACTGTAGTGATAGGACAAGGGGGAATGGCTTCAAACTGAAAAAGGGTAGGTTTCGATTAGACGTTAGGAAGAAATTCTTTATTCCAAGGGTGGTGAGGCACTGGAACAGACTGTCCAGAGAACCTGTGGATGTCTCATCTCTGGAGGTGTTCAAGGCCAGGTTGGACAGGGCTTTGAGCAACCTGGTCTAGTGGAAGGTGTCCCTGCCCATAGCATGGGGGTTTGACCTAGATGATCTTTAAGGTCCCTTTCAACCCAGGCCATTCTAAGATTCTATAGTCCCAACTCCCCTGCTATGGGCATGGACATATTTTACTAGATCAGCTTGATAGAATCAAAGAACGTGATACTATAATTGGTATATTTCCATGTGTCTCGATAATGTGGCATTAATGCCAAACTCTCCTATTGTAACCATAACAGTGCATGGAATGTGTATTCTAATTATTCTGATTAGAATCTGCTTTGAAGAGTTTACAAAAAAGCAGATAATATTCTATGTTCCAAACAGCACCCCCGGGGTGAGGTAGTATTCTCTTACTCAAAAGTTACTGGCTATGAGCATGACAGCAAAATTAAGATACTTGATAAGAGGAGCTGAGAGAGGGAGCTTGTGGTTGAGCTTTTTTGAGCCAAGGTTGGAAATAAAACAGTTATGTGAATGGCTTCATTAAGAACTGAAAGCTAGACATTTTATAGAGAGATGGATTTAATGAATGAGGTTACAGAAGGCCAGTGAGGATCAAAGGCAAAATCAATAATGATGAAAATTACACATAACATTTAGCAAGTGCATCTCTAAAAGTTTGAAGAGGACAACAGGACTGTAAACGGCAAGAGCAAAATAAAGAAAAAAATTTAGCTTCTGAGAAGAAGACTAATGCAGTGTATAAATTGCTTAATTAGGAGGTGAAAGAGTGTCAAAGGTTAGTTGTTAGGAGCTGTATTAAGTGTAAGAGCTTAATTGGCTTGTCAGAACTTTCAGGGGTTTTTTATGTAATCAAGGTTTTCTTCACAGTGAAGAACAGGGAATTCCCTGAAATGAGGATGTCCAATGCAGTAGTCCAGAAGATGGTAACACAGGAGCAGAGAGATGTCAAAAGATTGGTCGAATAATACAGAAACAGATTAAAGTGAATGAATGATCAGTGTTAAAAGATACAGGCAAGACAACCTAAAAGTAAAGATTAAAACTGCAGTTTTGGAAAAACTGCAGTGTAAGTGATCCAGGCAAAAAGAAGAGAGGAAGACTGCATGTACCACGGACTTAAACATGAAAATATGATTCCATATGGCAGTGGTTGGCCAGCTTGGGCAAAGAGGTTTTTTTAGTGTATGGTTGTGCATTGGTTTTGCTTTTGTTTTCTTTAAAGAGGAATCCTAGTATGATGGATTTATCAGGCCAAGTTGCTAAATGCTTAGAAAAAATTAGGAAAAGGGAAGTTTTGAAGCAACACTAATACAAATACTGAATTACTGACAAATTTTGTCCAAGCTTGTGTTTTGGATGCCTGTATCTTTTGACACTGATCATTCATTCACTCATTAATCTGTTTCTGTATTATTTGACCAAGCTTTTGACATCTCTCTGCTCCTGTGTTACCATCTTCTGGTCTACTGCATTGGACTTCCTCATTTCAGAGACTCTTCTTTTTCATTGTGAAAAAAAGGCTTGATTAAATAAAAAATGTTGTGAAGAGCCTGTCAAAATTACTCGTGTTGCTGAAGTCAAGACTTCCCACTTATGGTCCTATTTTGAATAGCCAGATAATATTTTACAGCCATTGCCATTAGACTTCAGTTTGGTTTATTCCTATTAAAACATTTGACTAATCACATTTAACAGCTGTTTCATCCCTAAAGTCTGGAGGGAGAAGGCTTTAAAATCAAAAAGATGAACTTGTGTACCATATTGTAATGTTTAACAATTTTTTAAATGGTAGTACATACCAGTTATCAGTTGTCAATGCAGTCAAGGAACCGTGCTTATAAAAGTCCAGTGCATATGCATTGAGTGGCCTCCTCCTTCCCTGATTATCATACTTGTTCAAATAAAGCAGGGGGCAGTTTGTGACATTAACTCCAAGAGAATGTAAGACAGCCTAAAACCAAAAAATATTATTGAATAGATACTGTGGTTTTGTTTATATGCCTATTTTGTCAAACCTACACCTTTAGACCCACAGCTAAAAAGTTCCACACTTCTAATCCAGTCCAAAAATCTGCACAAGTACATGTAGACTGTAGACACAGGAGAGAGTTTGTTAGTAATGTGATTTAAACTGCTAGTGCAGCTATGGAGTGTTCTGAGTAATTTAGAGTTTAACTAGGCAACTTTATTTCTCTTGAGTTTTAGATTAGGATTTTTCCATATGCATAGATCATCTATTAAGACTCATTGATGCTTTGAATTCATTAATTACACTTAAACATGGAACATTTTAAAGATGAAGGTGAATTTCAAATCTCCAGTTGTAGGAATTTAATTTTTTACTATTACAGAATTATGAGTTGTGTTAATTCCCTAATATTGCAGAGCCCATGTAGAATAACACAGGAAAATGCAAGTTGACAGTAAATATGTTGGTGTATATTAGAATTAAGCTAACTCGTGCTATCTAACACAATGCTAGTTACAAAGCAATCAATGCCATATTGCATCCATTCGCTAGGATCCTTGAGCCTACTGTGTGGTTGATTTAAAAACAGAAATGAAAACTCCTGACATGGAGAAAACAAAATGGGGATATGGTTTGAAATTTTAGAGTATTTTACTTGTGTGAGAGTCAAAAGCAATGGAGACCTTGTAAGAAAGCAAAATATTTACAGATTTTTTTTCCTACATCCATCTATTCTGTGATTTTTGCACTGTGACAATGAGGTGCTACTTGATGCTGGATATTTATTTTTTGACACTTTCTGAATTATTTCTCCTAAAGAGTGACACTTGCAAATAGTGCTATCATATTAGGCAGAGGGAAGAAGATTGTGATTAAACAAATACTTTATTGAACTCCAATAAAATTTTAGCCCCCATGAAAAAAATAACTTACTTTATTAATGATGTTCTCATGAAATAGATCATTATCAACCACTCCAGATAAACATGCAAAAGGTGAGATGGCAGATATGCTTTTGGTGTTGTCCATCAAATAAGATGCTAGTTCAGAGCCGTGCCAATTCTGAGATGTAAAGTCTAGACAAGAAGTTTCATATACAACATCAGCTATTGAGACACAAACCCCTTTTCAGCAATCTAGTTTGAAAGTGGTAAGTTTTCAGTGCAGTAGATAGTGACAGGAAATAGAGTTAATGTTCCAAACTTAAATCCTTCTTGATATATCTTTGTTTATTTTGTTCACAAGAACTTCTGTGTAGCTGATTATAGTGTACAAGAAAGAGCTTTCTAATGGTAAGAATTACTATGTCTCAATCTCCCCCCTTGTAACTTAAACCTTTCTTCTTGACTCATCTGTAGCCAAAAGTTATGCCAAAAACAAAGGCAATGTTACCATTAGAAGACTTAGTTTACCATCATCTTTTATTCTGTCTTACATTGAAGGACAGAATAAAGGACGTCCTATATTTGAAGTGCTTTCTTATTGCAAAAATAGTATTTTTGAAGGCATGTTTTTTTAGAGCTAGATAATGGGATAGTGGTATATTACATTGCTTTAATATCTGTCTTCCAGGAAATAATTTGAGATTATGAAGTAGTTAAATATTTTTCACCCAAGGGCAATCTATATTGCTTGGTAATTTGCTTGCCTTTTCATATTGCTTTTCTTACTGAATATCACTTATTGGCATAAATAACTCAGCTGATTTAAAAAAAAATGTGAGGTTCTTTAATTGATACTTAAATCTTAAGGCTGTTCAGATGTTGAAAATCTAATCTTTGGTAAGATTCTGAAAGCAATTCAAGTATTCTAGGTATTTGAGGATCTGCAAATGCACTGATGATCAGATAAAAAGGCTTTTATTCAATAATTTTACTTAGTTTTTTTTTCTTTTATAGTCCCTTTGGTTTTTTCCTCTACAGAATAATGGAAGAATAGCAACTAAAATGATCCTTTCTCTGTACAAAACTTCTGCCACATACAAATTAATTGGTAATACTTGTAAAACAAAAGTGAAATAGAAATTGTAGGTCTTTATTACTGTATCTCAAGCCAAATGTTTTTTCTTTACAACATGAGAATTAACCTTATCTTCCTAATACAATTTCACAAATTATAAACATGCATTAATTTTTCACTTCATACCTGTCTTTGACAGTGGAAGTTTGTATTCTTGTTCCATATCAGCCAGCTTGGCAGTTGTCAGAAGAAAATGAGCAAAATTTTCTTGTACTTTGGTGTTGTATTCATTTAAAGCATCTGCAAAGTCTTCTGGTAGATCTTCTAGGAAGACCTTAAATAACACGCAGTTCATTGCTTAATGTAGGTGATTTGTCCAAAAGTGTCAGTTCTACATTGTTCCATACATAAAATATTAGTATACACAGAGCATATTGATAGAAAGAAAGAAAGTGTGCAATTTCAGACTTTACCCAGCTTGTCACACTGCCTGGACATTTGGAATTAACAGACCTTAAAGAGTGAATTTCAAGCAGAAAAGGCATGGAAGATAAACAGTAAGTATAAAATTCCTTACAGGGTACTTGGCAAACAGCTTTACTAAAGATGTTTCTATCTAGTTATAAGTGGCCTTTTGAAGGGCTGCCTTTCTCAGATCTTGTTTTGTCTATCTTGGTGTTCAACAGGTTTCCCTGTCAAAATGACAGACTGATGGCTGCCATTAGCCACAACAGTCCTGTAATCCCTCCTACATGACTAACCACTTCTCAGAAATAAATAACATTTTTTCTCTTGTAATGCTTGCTGGAAACTGGCCACATAAACAGTTTAATACAGAAGAAGTTTCCTCTGTTGTTCCAGCCATAGGTGTGTTCTCCAACATTTTAAGGCCTTGCGTGGAAGAGCCAACAGCAGCACCTTATAAGTGTTTCACTTCCCTGCCTGCACCCATGGTGAGTTAACTTTGTGCAGAACTAATGGTAATGCTCATCCTACTAATACTGTCCCATTTTTTGAAAAAGCCTTAAGCCTACAGTGTCATATACCACAGAGCATGCTGGTGTCCTTCTGGATCACTGGTATGTGTCACAAAAAGCTTCAGCTCCCTAGATGGAGACAAAACTCTAGCAGAGTGAGAAGGGGGAGAAGGTGCTCCAAGTAATGAAGCAGATTCCCTTGCAGCCTATAGAGGAGAGCACAGTGGAGCAGAGATTTCCTTGCGGCCATTCTGTGGAGAGGACCATGCCAGAGCAGATTCACTTCACTGCAGCTTGTGAAGAACCCCACACCAGAGCCACTGAATGTTTTCTGAAAGAACTAGAGCCCATGGAGAACCCACAATGGAGCAGGTTTATCCTGAAGGACTGCAGCCCACAGACAGGACTCACACTGGAGCAGGGGTGACATGGATGAGGAAGGAGTGACAGAGAGAGCTGTTAAAAATGGACCACAGCTCATTTCTCATTTCCTATCAGCCATGCACTGCTTGGGGTGAGGGAGAGGTAAAGGAGTCAGGAATGAAGGAGTAAAGTTGAGCCTGGGGATGGTAGAGGCAGGGGAAGGTGCTGCTGAATTTTTATTTTTTGTTTCTCACTACCAAAATCCATTTTAATTGGCACCAAATTGATTTCATTTTCCACAAGTTAAGGCTGGTGTGCCCTTGATCATAACTGGTAAGCAATCTCCCTGTTTCTTGTCTCAACACATGAACTCGAGCTCCTCCATACTATTTTCTCCCACAGCCTGCTGAGATGGAGGAGTAAGAGAGCATCTGGGTGGGCAGCACCAGGCCACTGTACATCCATAAGGACACCAGTCTAACTGAGAAAAGGAAACAAATTGTTTGAAGTGGTACACAACACAAGTTACAGTAAAGACAAATGCTTTCTCTACCTTTGACTGGGAAAATTGGCGTTTGTATTTCATTGAGCAGGCTGGAAGATACATTCTCCCAAATAAGTTTGCTAGAATGAGAACTAACTTTTCCATGACATCTTCTGAAAAAACAGTTGAGTCTGTGTCAAAACAGAAAGTGCTTGGGTTAAATATGAAAGTGTAAAAAAAAATTATGTGCTGTTGGGGTTTTTTTGCTTACAATAAACAACTCCCATTCAGGAGTTTCTTTGACCATAACAGCTGTCAGGACAGAGGTTTTGCAAAACTATGTTGGATAAAGATCAACTCATGAGATACAAAATAGATAGTAGTAGATCATGGTAGATAATTAAGCAACTAATAGTATGTACAAATCATTACTGTATTCCTATATGTTAACATATTGTATCATATCTCAGTGCACACAATAGATTTAACTCAGGTAATGAGACATTAGTAGTACTTACTTTTTTCATTTGTTGATATTCAGAGTAGTCATCCATTTTATTTGCTAGATAGAACTCAAATCTTACTCTGGAGTCAGAATTATTAATTTTTCTATGTATGGCATTACTTCTTACCTCACCAGAATGTTTCACAAACAGCAAAGATACAGCAAATGATACCAGCATTGCCAAATGTGTGCCTTGGCTTTCTCAGACAGAAATATAAGCATATGCAGAGTGTGTAGAGGCAGAGGTCAAGGATCTGAAGATGAAAGTGAGGCAAGCAAAAGGTAGCAGCAGCAAGAAGGTACCCGGTATCATTGAGGCTACAGAGCCTGCCACAGATTGCAATTAACTTGAATGGAGTATTACTTACCTTTAATTGGCTGGCACAATTTGTGCAATAAACCTTTCACAAGAAAGCTCACTAAAACGAAATTTGAAGGTTCATGATAGTACAAGTGTGTCACAAGTCCAGCAAATCCTACGGGGTTACATTCTTGATCCAAGTAGCCCTATTTAATTTGAAAGCAAAAAAAAATAGCTTAGTTGTAAAAGATGAAATTAGATACAACAAAAATATACAATTGTGATATTCAGAACAGTCTTTCAGCCTAATGTATAGGTACCTATTGAGACTACTGAATTTACAGTGAAAGGCAAAAATTTCTGCAAGTATAGATTTTGACCTTATAGATTTAGATCATGTTGCAAATGAAACGTGCACATAGTCATCAAAGTAAGGCCTGATGCAATGTGCGTTAAAGAGAAAACTATTAACCTAAATGTTTGACCAGATAAAAGCCCAGCAAGCAGTGTTCTGTCAAATGTTTTGCTGCAACATGTTTGGATGCTAGAAACTTATATAGTTTTAAAAAGCAACAGGACAAGCTCATGGATTAAAACTCCTTTAAAGGCTCTAAATTCCAGGACAGCTCTCCTATGAGAGATCAGTCTGCATTATGCCTTGTAAGCAAGTACAGAGTATTCAGAGAATCATCATATGGTTGTTTTTTTTTTAATACACTAATTATTGGAGACAGGATACTAGGTGTGTGGGCCAGGCTTTGTCCAGTTCTTATGCTAACTGTAACTTTTTGGAAACATTACTGAACTCCTGTACATTGATCAGATTCTTCTCTTCAACAGAAGCATCAGACCCCTCATCTCAAAAACAGCAGACACCCAGAAGAGGCAGAAATATTGGTTAGGAATCATACTAGGAGAAGGAAACCTGGGCACAGATGATTTTTTAATATAATCACTTACTGCCTGTAGTCCTCAGCTGTAAGCCAAAATAGAGTCATGCATGAAAGTTTTCCAAAATGGTATCCACCGAACATAAAACTATTACTATGGAGAGATGTACAACTAATTTTCAGTCTTATCTAAGATCTACTTTCTAAACTTTTGCTTTGGAAATCATGTCATCCTTAGTATGTCTTAAACTCCTATCATTTCACATGCATGCATTTTCATACATAACATAAATGCACAACTCTAACTTTCCTAATCTATTTGTAATCTTATAGACCATACCATATTGAATTTATTGCATAACATAAGTAGCTCAGAATTAACCTCAAACTTAAAACGTTAGAATTTTATCTGTTTCCTTAAATTTGTAACAGAAAGAAATAGCCTACTGCTATGAAATAAAAAGTATATGGTTCTTTAAATTAAAGCATGCAAATATAAACAAATAAGAATCTGTAGATTTAAGAAAAACTATCCTTTATGGGAACAAGTCAAAACATACCTCTTTGATAAGAAATTGCAAGGAAAACACAAAATAAATTTTTAATATTTCAGCATATCTTTCTTTTCTGAATGACATCAGTGAATGCTTCAACACTGACAAAGCCTGGTCAAATAAAAAGGAAAAAGAAAGTAAAAAACCCCAGAAATCAGAAATCCAAAGGAATGTTGATATTGTAACAAGAAAAAAACGAATATCCAGCTTTTATGCTTTGTTTATCAATTGGTTTTCAGGATAAAAAATGCTATGTAGAGGTTATTTAAATTTTATGTAAATTGAATGCCTAACTCTTGGAAATGCTAGTGAAAAAGTCTATCCTCTGCCAAATGTACGCTCATTTTCAAAATGCATGCTGGGGTTTGTAAAGTTAATTACATTAAATTCATACAGAGATCTAAAAGACAAGGATTTAAATATCAGTAAACTAAACCCAGGAAGTTTTGAAATTACTCCTTTCACTATAATACCTTTTGAACATAATAAGTATTTAACACAGAAGTTTACCAATCTCCATTGTTATCTTAAGAATTCTTATGTCTGAATTCATTCAGTGAGTTCTCAAAAATAAATGTCTATATGCTGAAGTGGATGTAAAAATCAGATCATCTGGAGGTAAGAGTTCCTTAACACTTACAAGAAGAGATCTCTGACCAATTTGTAATCTTTATGGGTTGTTTACTTAAATCACTGCATTAAATGGCAAGAATAAGAATTCGTTGATTACAGATAGTTAGTATGTGTATTTAAACAAGTTAGCAATACATAGAATTTCCTCATTGTTTCAACTGAGGTAGCACTTCATAGCACCTATCTTCCCTGTGGAAATATATGTTCTCATCTTTTCTTCAAATACAACTAAAATTTTAAATATTGGAAGCCTTGCTGGTTCTCCGGTTTAATGCAAATACTGCATAGAACAAAAGCTGATAAAATTACTTTGCTGCTAGTGGCATTCTTTCTGATGATAAAATTTATTGCAAAGAATAAATGCATGACAATGGACAGCAGAATACTGCGGAGAAGATGGCACAGGTACTAGAAGCAGTTATAGCAGAATATACCATTTCATTTGGGCCAGGCTGGTTACCTGTGAAGTGCATAACTTTCTGCTCATGTTAAGGAAACAGTATTTAATTATATTGAAGTTAAGAAAAAACATATTAAACCTTTGCTCTAGCATCTGCTTTGTCATCAGCCTTTGCAGCCAACAGCATGAGTCTCAATATTAAGGAAATAGTCAGAGGAAATTGGCCTTTCAACTGAGGTACATTGGATTTGATAAGTCTTTCAACTTTGGGCAGTGGGATGTCATAGAAGAACACATTTCCAATCATATCTTGTCCCCGTCTTCCAGCACGCCCTGACATCTGAGAATAAAATATTCATTAATCAAATTATTAATACAATAACATTATTAATTTTTAAATAAAAATACCTAACTTGTATATACCATCTATACAGTCTTAATAAAGCATTTATGCAGAATTATTAAAATAATGTGTGCAAAATATGTTGTACCTCAAATCTAGCTGGTTTACAAAAGTGGTGTGTTTCTTTACTTTTTTTAATATGAACTTCCAAATTTAATGGAAGACCTAAACACTGGCCAGGATACTTAAATTCTCTCAAATGTCATTTTAACATTTATTTTTCTTCAAGGTAAATTTTAACTTTATTTATATCTATACACCAGCTTTGTTTTCAAGTTACATTTAGTTCCGAATAATTTCTGAGTAGATTTGGAGCAGAGGTAGTCTCAGAATGAATAAAGAGCAGAGAATATAAAAAAAGAGCAGGGAGAACCTTCCTAAGGGTATATTCTCTTGCTTGGATCACCTATCCTTTGTCTGGTCCATTGCAGGGACTTGCCCCTTGTACCAGATGATGTGATAAAGCTGGAGTCATATATATATATATGTGCAGCAGAAGGGAGATGCACATAGGTCCAGATATAGTACAGATCCACTCACATTGGCAGTATTTCATGAATACTGGTTTGAAAAGTAGCACAGGAGCAGGAAACAGGTGCTGATGAAGAGGTTAGAGTCTCTCAACCCACCTAGTAAGTTGTGCCGTGAGTAGAGACATTCTGCTTTGTTGCATTTGCAATCTCACCTCCACACTGCTGTGTTGCATTGTGGAGTGCCACTTCCAAGACAGAAAGAACTCAAATGTACCCATTAATCCAGTCAACAATCTTTCCTTTCATTGTTACAATCCCACTGTATGTTCTTACAGTGTAAAACCCTGGCTGGAACCAAACAGCTTTTGTTTTTCCAGCTTCCATAACTAAAAGCCAAATATATGCCTTTACTTCACTCAGCAATTGTAATCTTTGAATTGCTGAAATAGGTCTTTTGACTACACACTGTAGTACACCTGTATAGTGTTCTTGTAATAAAAAGTGGGTGTTTTATTTCCATACCTGTCTGTAATTTAAGGCATCTAAAAAGACAGAATCTTCAGCAAAGACAACAGATTTACATGGCATGTTGATTCCCAGAGCAAGAGATGAAGTAGCTGTGACTACCTATAAAGTATCAAACACGAGTGTATCTATTAGAAATGGCAATATTCAATTTAAGAAAAAAAAACAACACCTGTAATATTCAACTTAAATCAACAGGAATTTTATTATAATTTCTCATATTTTGCTTTAATTTCTCATATAATGCTAAAATTTCTCATCTATCATGCTTTAATTTGGTGAATTTAACAAAGCTATGAACATAAAGGAATTTCACTCTTTAGTGTAATTCATATAGTTATTACATTTGCATATTAAACTTTTTATCCTGAAAGTTATACCATATCTATTATGAAAATTGAAATAACTAATAAATTGCAATAATATTGGAATTGAACACAAACTGAAATATTTCATGAAGACAGTACAATATATAATATATATAGACTTCATTTAACTAAAGCACATTTGGTTGGGTGCTGCAGTGAAAGACAAAAAATGTTTCTATAAATACATTAGCAACAAAAGGAGGACTAACAAGAATCTCCATCCTTTACTGAATTGGGGGGAAACATAAAGGCAAAGGGTGAGGAAAAGGCTGTGGCACTTAGTGTGTAAATGCAACATATTTTACCACTAGTGAAAGTACACTATATTTCAAAATTAAATACATGGACAAACTAAGACCTTAAAAAAAAAAAATAAAATTGATCCCAATTCACCAACCTTCACGTATCCCAGCCTGAAAAGCATCTCCACTACTTGTCTTTGCTTAGCAGACATAGATGCATGATGATACCCAATTCCCCTCAGTGCCATCTTTTGCTGCAGATAACCTCTTCTCTCAAACCTAAGACGATGAAAAATCTTCCTCAAAGTCTACAAATAAACAAATGTTAAGTATAAACCACAAAAGTATTAAGCATAACCAGGTGTTGTTAATTTTTCAGTATTTTCTGAACTTCACTCTACAGCTAAGTGTTATCTGTTCTGAAGTTTAAGCTACTTCTTCACTGCCTTAACCCATGTGCTACTGTGGGAAGCAGTGTTCCTTCCACATCAGCTGACAACAGTCCAAAAATGCTATTAGACTTAAAAGTTCCCAAGATAAGGCATCACGAGTTTGATCCCAATGCACACAATTTTCCTCTTTCAAGACAAATCACAATAAGCAGAAAGTATTATCAAGATACTTCATCAAATTAAGAATTAAGAGCTATATATATCACAATTACATTTGCTCCATGAAGAGACAGCTATATGAACCACAGCCATGTTTTACAAAATTTAGACCAGAGGGAATCTCTTGGATCAAGGCCCAGGCACCCACTACTGGTGAAAACAACCTCATATAAATATATTTCATTAATTATTCATTAATTATTTCTATCCAAATATATACATTAATATTTCTGATGAACACCTGCAGATTTTCAATGGTTTTCTCATCTTTTCTTTCCTTGGGGGACATAAACACATTGAAAAGCGAAGAAAATTTTGCTTTGTGAGGACTAGAATTTTTGGAGTCTAAAAAAAATTATTATTTAGTATTTTTACAAGATATGAAGGTCTGAAAAATCTTTTGTTAAGTACATAAATGTGCCATACACACTATGCTGATGATTCAGAAAAACAGGAGTCAATAAGTAATAGAACTGCATTGCTGGAAGTTCATGGAAGTGAATTAACTGTATTTTATCCCAGGATTCCTATCGCAAGAAGTCAACATCTTTTTATTTGGCAGAATGAAAGTTGTCCATACATCTTAAAAGTAAAGTTATCTAAGATTGGAATCACATTTAAATGGGAATATTCAGAATATTTCTTGAAGTCAATGAATGCTGTTATAAAGTACAACCGCATCATTATATGCTTTTTATGCATTTATGCATGAATTCACGCATTTTAGACATACAAGAATAAAACCAAGTTAGAATTATCAGTGAATTACTTACATCTTCATCCACTGCTTTATGGTCAGCGTAAGTACACACAGAAGGGATCGTAGTTAGTGTTTTAAGCCTTATTTCTAGGTTGGTTTTTTTAGTTGAAAGAAGTTCCATCCTTTTTATTTTATGAGGGCTCAACTTTTTGGTATCCCTATGTAAAATATACAATTAAAAATATTTTTTTTTTGTAATTAACATACATTTCTCAATTTTAAAATGTTCTTTGGATACTGAAAGATGCAGACTCATTCCCTTTTAAACTGTAGGCTCAAACTTGTAGGTATATATGTTAATGTAAATACTGATAATGCTAACAGCTTCATTTTATCATGGCTCATATGAAAAACTGCAAGTAATTTGGGGTGAAGTAGAGAGGACAAAAATTAAGGAAGATAAAGACAGAGACTATAAGTACCTCAATTAGCAAATTTGTAAGCTAACTAGATTTCATAGGAGAAGGATTAAAAGAAAAACATGATGGATTTACTGCCAATAATGTCATGAACGGCAAGGATTTAGGACAGGATTTGAAGAAGAGAGGGGAGGGAAGAGTATTTAAGGGCAAATTTTTAAGGTACTTCAATGTCTAAATATGTGTCTAATAGTAGTAAGTGAGAACTTGAAAATCCAGTAGGAATTTAAAGTCAGCTAAGTTCATTCTTCCATGATATGTCCAAAGAATGCACTGTAAATTGTCATTAGGAGGACAAAACGAAGATGTTTTATGTTCTTGAAATTCCTGATAACTATAGCCATATTTCACTCCCAAATGTCTTATAAAATCCATACTCTATGATCATAAAATTGATAAAATGAAAGGTTAAGGGGGGAAAAATACAGTACAATCCAAACAAAAGGCTGACAAATATTAAAATAGGATCTCACCATTTGGTGAACCTGTATTTCATAGATCCACTACCCTGGTGAGGCTAAACTATGAAAATATTCTCCCACAGTGGCTGACCCAGAAGCAGGGTCAAATGCTACACTGTTTTTAGGACTTGCACAACTAAACTTACTGTTTGGAAAAAGAGCTGTTCTGATATGTTGATATCTCAGTAGTTAATTACTCCAAATTGACCAATCTCATATACTCAGGTCTCTCTTTGATTCTTTTGTTGTAGTGCCAGCACCTTACCCAACGTCAGCAGTGCTGGCATCTTCCTGCTGCCTGACTATACAGTAGGTACTGCTGATTGATACCTGCCACTCGGCTGCTCCAGCAGTGTGGGGTACTAGAGCACAAAGAAGAACAGGACTACTATTCCTCAAGCTAGATGGATGTGCTGCTGAAAGGTGCAATCCCCAGAAAAAAGTTATCACAAAATTACACTCTGTCATAATACGTAAGCTTTTTAATAACATCTTGTTATAATACTTACTCAGGGAATTTTGTTAGCATTTTGGTCACTTTTCTTAGTTTTTCCCTTAAATGCTCTTCTTCCCTCTCAGGATCTGGACCTTGTATACTTTCTTGTTTTTCCAGCAATTTAGAGAATACAGTCTTGGCTGCACGTTCGACTGAATGGATGTTAAATCTTGAAGTAAACAATATATAATATACATCAGATAGGTGACTCTAATACAGTTTTATTACAATTTATATGTAATACTGTTAAAATAGTATTCATGAGCCCTATCATCTGATGATAGTTAGAATCTAAACATTAGAAGCTTATCCCTATTTCATGTCCAACATACTCTACGTTCTCTTTCAAACAGCTATTATTACAAAACCAAGTGGTAAAATGATTCTACCAAAAAATTATCTACAGGAAGTATGCTCAACTCTATGTTTCCCTAAGATGGACACTTGGACATAAAGTAAACTGCAGCTTAAGTCACTTTAGTTCTTCTCAACTACCCAACTGAGAATCAGTGCCTGTCCTCATCTTCCACATGGCTGTTCTTCCTCATAGCTTTTTCACTATTGGACTGTGGAGTTTAACTGGGATGAAGACTTCTCCAGCTTCACTCTCAAAAAGAATTTTTTTCATTCCTCTTGCTTCAGGCGGATAATGTTAATTAAAACCATACAAGATGCTGGCAACACATACAGTGAGGCTGCATCCAAACCCATTAGAATATTCACAGTCAAATCTGTCAGACACCAAGATCAGGAGCAAAATTTTCACCTTCACATAAGCACGTGAGGACTGAAATTGCAGTGAGTATGCTAATCCTAGTGTCTAATGCAAGGACAGGCAAGGCTTTATACTGAGATGAGCAAACTTTCCATATTTACATGATTGTTCCAGTGCATTATTACAGCAAACGTATGCACTAGACAGCTGTTTACTGATAAGTAGCTTATTTTTATTAAGTCCAGCATTGAAGTACATGCCTAATTTACTAATATAAGCAATATCACTGACAATAATGGTATTATCAATATGATCAAAGTTGTGCATATTTGATATTACATAATTACACCTCATATATGCAAACCAGGTTGATTGATGCATTGTCACTGGATGTAAGATGTGATTTTTAGAGGTTATGCAGTGGGAGCATCACCATGTAACAAATGAATACATTAACTAAATCACATCTCACCCTTTTCCGTGGCAAATCTGCCTTTACATAAATCATTTCCACCTCTAAATAGACAGCATACACTTTCCACAAGTTTTACTGACTACACCAGAGCAAAGCAATGGAGAATCTGATTTTAATGTGATTAAGTTTCTTGTAATTTTCTCAGACATCATGCATGGATTCTACCCTTTCCACACAGTAATTAAGTGCTCCCAGTTTTATTTCAGCTAAACTTCAGTGCCATAAAGATACATGGGTTGATAGACCTTCACTTTTAAGGCAAAGGTAATAAATACCATGTAAATGGCATTTGCTTATCAATGCTTATCTCCATACTCATTTTTCTGAATATAGGCAATACACATATAATACCTGAAATGTACATACTTACATAAAAAATATGGCAGGCAACTTATCCATCTCATGTAATTTATCAACAAAGTTTGCAAAATGTTCCCACTTCTGCTGTTCTGAGCAATCCACAGATTTTGGCTTAAGGTGCTCCAGTAGTTCATTCACCTGAGCGAAGTAATAGTTTTATGGAGATTTTAATGGCAGATACTTCTGTCTGGAAGCTAGCAAATACAAAGACTCCATTTTCCTGTGTAAAATTCTATCAGTTCAAATTTTTCAAATCATTCAGAACTGGAATAGTCACTTATAGTTTACAGACTAAAAGGTCTGAAAGTTATCAACTGACTTTGGCAAGAGCTCAAAATAGAATTTTCATGGCTACCATGTTTTTCAGCTCATTGCTCGAATTTCTGTCTTTTACATGGGAACATACATAATGTTACACAGAAGGTTTCATATAAGCAACAAAAAAGAAGAAGACTGAAAAAGCAGATCAAAGGTACAATATTCTCACCAACTGTAGGAGGTACCCAAAGGAATCATGAATTGATATCTCACAGCAGTATCAGAAATCTGATTCCAAGAGATGAGAAAACATCACCTTAAAAATGCTTATTAAAATGCTACAAATAGTGCTTATCTTTCAAGTAAAGCAACAGTTAAATATGGACAAACTCCCATAATTATGTTACTAGATATAATTACTATTATACTAAAGCTGGACAAATCTGAAGAAAGTGCCCTCTAGCAACTGTTACCTTCTGCCTTTGGCCAAGTACAATCCATTCGCTTAGTTCTTTCTTCAGTTCCTGTTCATATTTCCTTGCATCTACCTTTTTTATTACTACTTTATTCTTGAAAGAGACAAACTCCTCAGGATCTAGCTCCTGGAACAATATTAATATTTAATGTTAATTTAAAGAGTTCTTAATCTATTACTTTGTTACTCTAGTACTTTGCCATCTATTTATTTTGATAAGTTTTGCTTACAGCTGTGTATGCCCACCTGTGCCCTTGGCCAGTCTTGCCAGACTTTTGCCATTGTGTCATAAAGCTGGATGCTCTCTCGTGGAGACAGAGAAAGATCTGAAGGAATGCCATAGTTCTCAATCTGCAAGGAGTATAAACAAAAGAAAAATACAGAAATAATTTTGATGGAATCCATGTTGCCTAAATGTAATAGTTGCTAAACAATGTTGACACCAGTGTTATGCTTACATGATTGACTGTTAATGCAGCACATGGATGACAGTGTTCAATGGTAAAATCGCTACCCTTTAGAGAACACACATACTTTTCCAAATCATTGTATCTTTCTTCATACAAGACTGTGAAGAGACAAAAATGCTGTCATGTTGCACTTCGTTGTTTGAAAAAGCAAGTATTTAATCCTGTAAGGTTTGTTGTTATTCAAAAGAAAAAAAAACAAACAAAAAAACAACAAACCAACAAACCAAAACACTTAAGTTTACACACCATGACTTAAGTTTTTGCAGAAATCACACTAAAGTTTATTTCTTAGTTACAAAATATTGCAATACACACCTAGTCTAACACGATATGATTTCTTTTGTTCTTGTACTTTAGATTTCACTTTACATTGTCTTGTAAAGTTCTTTTCAGAGTTTGTAGAGCTTCCTTCTATTTTATTCTCAGCACGTTGCCAATACCTTTTCACAGATTGTAACCACCTACAATGGAAAAATCAAATGAAAATAAGATTTGTAAAATATATTTTAAGAAAATCAGTACAACTATAACATATGAGTTACTACGATCTGCTTAATTTCTCCTACAGAATTTCCAGTCCCTTCTCACCAATTCAGTGCAATTTTCTCCAGCTTATCCCAGGGTGCAAATAAAAAAAATGTGAAATAGTACCTATACACACACACACACACATATATATATATATAGTGTAGGAGTCTTCTCTGACTGATGATGGATAAGTGTGCTTTGGCAATTCAAGCAGATGTAAAAGCCTCCTGAATTCCTCCACACAGCTCAGAGTTACAGAGTCTGAAGGAATAAGTAGAGTGTGTTCTCATTACAAAGTTAAGAATTACAGTATAGTTTTGTGTCGATTGGGGAGTGACGGTACCATAATACATATAACATTGTAATTCCAAATCAGTTGTCCTTCCAATACTAATTGACCTATCTATCTAAAACAGCTCATATCTAATGTAAATATGCTCCCATGGGCAATAAAATTCCACACGTACTCAGTTAGGTGTTCCGGGTTACTAACAGTAGCAGAGAGTGCCAAAAATGGACATCGAATTGTTATCAGAAGATGTTCCCAAATCTCTGCTCCAATTTCACCACCAAGACAATGTACCTAGGTTTTTGGGAGAAAGGATTAAAAGAAAAGAAGAAGTGTTCCTTATGAACGTGTATCCATAACAGGAGTTTTGTGTTTTGCAAAAATCAAAAGTTTGGCAAGATCAGAACTGAATAATCCTTATGTTGTAGCAAATGACCATGGATCCAAATCAAATGTTCAGTAAATACCTCTCCAGACTTAACTAGATAGCAAATTAATTTAAATTTCAATACTACATTTACTGTTTGTACCCTACATGTTCACTGGTGTCATTAGCAATTAATTCCATCTACAAGAAAGAATACAGGAGGAATTTTAAATTTAACAAGATTAATCATTGACTTCTTCCCTGGAAAGTCTGACCAATAGAGTATGATGTGTCATGTGTATGATCCCAGTCTGGTATGTTCTATTTGTGCCATTGAGACTACAGTGGCGGCTTTTAGTTTTTCAGTTGACTGACTTGAGAGAAATAAAGGAAGTTCCTGGTAGTTTTTATTGAATTGTATGTCCTCTTGAAGAATAACAGAGTTTTAAGTTCTTTCACTGGAGGACAAGTCTGAAATAATACTTCTGAAAGCTGGTTTTTTTACCAGTAATAAACTGTGTAATGAAAAAATGAGTCACCAACATTTTTCTCAAGGTTTTTCTTATATTTGTTAAATTGGTTACTATTAAAAGATGCCTACCTCATCAAATATAACATACTGTATTCGTTGGGTCCATTTCTGGCAACGAGGAGACAGCATCAAAATTTCTAAGCATTGAGGCACTGTCACTAGTATCTAAGAAGAAAGGTTTGAAAAACATTATTTGCAAGCAAACAACAAGCAGATTCTATATTAAAAAAGCATTTAAAAATATGTATGTATGTGATTTCAAGGTAAACAAGAGTGAATGCATGTTTGTCACTGCTGTCTTCAAGAAAGGCAAGAAAAAAGACAGAGGAAATTACAGGCTGGTCACTCACCTTCATCCTCAATGAAGGTGCAAGTAGACACCAAGTTAAACATGAGGCAACAATGTGCCCTGGTGGCAAAGAAGGCTAATGATTTCCTGGGCTGGAAACTAGGAGGAGTCCAAACTAGGAGGAGTTTGGACAGCAAATCAAGGGAGGTGATCCTTCCCCTCTACTCAGCACTGATGAGGCCATACCTGAAGTCTTGTGTCCAGTTCTGGGCTCCCCATTACAAGCAAGACCAGCCTAGTGGCCTTCTATAATGAAGTGACTACATCAGTGCACAAGGTAAAAGCTACTGATATGTTCTGTCTGGACATTTATAAGGCATCTTCTGTATGCTGGTAACAAAAGGATTTTAATGGTTTTTCTTTTAACCACAGCAAGTCCACTTTTAACCTGCATGTCCATTGATGATGACGAGGTGAGGTTGTATTCCACAGACTTACATACCTAAGTACAGGTATGCATAGATTTTTCCTGAACTTTTGACTTAGCAATGGCTCAATTGTTCTAATTAGAATTAACATTTTCAGAAGCCAGATGGAATACAGAAGTCATTATTATTATTATGTGTTAAACACCCATAAAAATATACCTGAGAATTCATGACATCATGGCGATAATCTCGTGTAAAGACTCCACACACTGCCAATCCATCTGGAAGTTTCTTGGTGAATCGACTGTAGACAGTTCCTACCACTTGGTTTACAAGGGCCTTAAATAAAGATCATTAACAAAACTAAAGAGTGTATGTCTAAAGATATATGACAGTCTGAGACATTTAAAGGCATTCAATTTTGGCACTGATATTAATGTACTAGACTATAATGTACTACGTAACGTCTTATTAAGTGTAGACTTTCACCAATGTTAACTTTAAAAAGATATGGTACTTTATTTTCAATTATACTCCAATGCTTTCAAAGAAATTTAGTGCTGTGTAAAGTGAGTTATTCATTATTAATTCTGTATTTTAATTATTTTCAAAGCAGTTAAAAATAGATCGCATTTACTTCATCTACAAGCACTTTAAGCACTTTACTTCATCTACAAGCCCAAAGTCCTTGGGCTGCATGTTTAAAATACATTTCTGCATCCAGACTGATATTCGAATGAAATTTTGATACCCAACCTGAGTACAAACACAAAAAAATTTGATTTTACTTACAGAAAACAATCCACAGAGATTGTTCTCAAATAACAGCACATGTAATTCACTACCTAAAAATCATATCACTGAACATTAAAATAAATTTTAGAAGAAATCAAAACATTATGCCTCAGTACTTAAATCAGTTTTGAACTATTAGGATGGAATTCTCACTAAAAAATATCCCACTACTTAGAGTTTCATACATTTTCTCTGGAACTCAATTAGAGAAACATGACTTGCTTAGTCATTTTTGCTTTCTAATATTACTTTCATCATATTGGTAGACTTTTGGTACTCTCATCATTTACCTAACATGCTACCTACAGCTTTTTTTTATATATTAATGTTTTTGACCTTAAATTATCTATACAAATATTAATAGACAAAAGCTCTATGTGAGCCAAAATATTTTGATGATTTTTTATAAGCATGCTCTAATGCATGTAAATATAAAACAGAATGTAAATATTGTTTCTAATAAAAAATATATATCAACTAAAGTTGTGTAACAAGTTACCCCAAACAGTTTCAGAATCATGACATAGTCATACATACAGAGTATGTAGTAGGAAACAGCCTTACCTTTGTAGGAGCAACATACACAACTACTCCTTCGTTGCTTGTTTTCAGAACTTTTTCCATGCAATAGTATGATGCATATGTTTTTCCTGAGGAAGTGGGAGCAACAATCACCGCGGATTCATTATTATCTACAGCATCAAGAAGTTCTCGCTAAGAGAAGAGCAGATATCAAAATATCTTGTCATTAAGTTCATATTGAGTGTTCTTTCTGTGAAAACATCTTTTATTTTTGTATGTACAATTTAAATACAGATTTTAGACTACAGAGGGTCAGAGTTAACTTGCTTGTGTTATGATTGTATTCTTTCCCCTTAAATTGTTAGTGGAAAAAAAATGGAACTACAAATTATAACTTGTCTATTTCAATTATTTGGTCTGACAGACAAAAAAAAGATCATTTCTATTAACTTCATGCTAAAAGTTTGTGTCTCATTACCTGCCATGTGTCTGGTATGAAATGTTGCACTCTGGGATCTGGATCATTTCTCTCTTCTCTGAGCAAGTAATAATCCATGTATTGTAGCTGAAAGCGAGCTGAACCCACTTCAATAGCATATTTGCTTGTATTCTGATTATTGCTTTTTCCTGTCTATAAGGTCAAAAGAAAACTCGGGTTGGTTTGAAAGCTAGAAAGAGATTAAGAAAATGGCACGTCTTTTGCTCTGTTGAACTGTGCAAGCTCTGAAAAACATATGAAAGTGCAGGTGGTTTTTTAATAATTTCTCTGAGAAATCCACACCACGCAGTCTTACGTTAGGGTTACATTCAGTGCTCTTGGAAGGAGACTAGGTTCTAAAACTACTATGTCTTCCACAGCGAGTATTAGTGTTGGTATTGCTTTTGTTATCAGAAGAGCTAACAAAACTGGCTACCAAGCAAAAGCTCAGCCTCTTCAAATTATTGCCTGCCAGAACCTTCTCACCATATATTTATGTCTCTCTTCTTCACTCTGCCCCAATCCCTTGTGCAATGAATCCCACTTGCAAAAAGAAATTCAATATAAAGTAACTGTGATGTCAAATTTTGAAAAGCATTGTATTTTTAAAGAATGCCTGTATACCCTAAGACATAGCAAATTTAATGTTCATGGATGCATCTGGTTACAACATCTGATCCTGAAAGCTGTACAAAAAAGTGTTATGCGTATAAAATATACTAGAAACTCAGAAAATCACATAACAATTTAGGTTATCAGGGTTTGGACTTGATGATCTTGGAGGTCTTTTCCAACCTTAAGGATTCTACAGATATCTGGATGTCAATCCAACTCACTGATAGAAACAGTTGCATTTAAGATGGGTCACTCAGGATATTCAGCCGAGTTTTTACTGTCTTTAAGGATGGAGATTTCCCAACTTCTTTAATTTCTTCAAGGAAATATTTTCAGCTATTCCTGAAAATTTCAGTTATTCCTAAAGTTTCTCCAACTTTGCAAAAGTAATAATCCTAAACAAGGAGCTTCAAAAGCAAAAGTAAGTCCAAAATGCACCAACTGATGTAGAACCCTCCTGAGCACGAATTAAACCTGCCAACATATCTCTTCTATCATCCTAAGCCTTTATAGCAAACTTTTTGAGATCCCTGGATCCCTTAATTCTACTTCCTAAGATGTAGTATAGCTTCTTTGGAACACCAAATACCTTTACAATAATTACGTAGCCAAGAACAGGTAATCATCGTCTACCAGTTGAGTTCACGCAGAAAAAGAGACAAATAATTTCCACTCTTAAAGAGGAGAAAATTTCTTACAAAAAATTCACTTCCTCTCTCTCCTCTGTCCTGAACCTCAAGGAAGGATGATAAACAGTTTCCAAAAATAAGCTTCCAAAAATTCCTAACTGTACTGCACCTGAAAAATGGGACACTGAAGTAACTGATACTGGTTTTACACTTCACTGTAATCTTCCTTCCTTTTGCTATTGACTTCATATTCTTGCAAGAGAAGCTACCTACTCCCTCTTCTGCCTGAGAGCCACTCTAGCATCCCCTCTCCCTAATAACATACCATCTGCACACAAAGGTATCAAACTGCTCTTAAATCAGCCAGTGGGCAGAAAAGCATAAGGTCGGTCCTTGGAGAAATTACTTCAGACCAAATTCAGTGTAGCTACTGGCGGTCTCTGCAGTGCTAATAACGACAAGCAATTCAGTATCGGAAACTGTTTCCTTCAGAAGCGATTAGAAATACCATAACATCAAACAGAATAGATTTCATCCACCTCCACAGCCTCAAAAGATTTCCTGTTCTAAAGTAGCACATTTGGACCTGCTAAAGAGCTGCTGCTCATTGCTTAGCTTTTAACACTTATTTTTAACATGCAGAGCTGAGCTGATGCGATGGACTGAACTTCAGGTACCTCTCAGACACATCTAAGGCCTCAGAGGGACATAACTAGAGCAAATTAATCTTGATGTCTCTTTCAAAGGCTATCTTTGCAGCCATATAAAGTTCTATTTACTGAAGGGGAAGCTTACTAAACCTACAACTCACATCAAGCAGAGGAATGTATACATGAACCTAAAGAAGATTAATACCTGAATCAAGAATAGATAGTTCCAAATCTTATGGCACAATGCAAAATAAAATAACCTCAATATTGGTGTCCTACACATTATTCACTGCTTAAGAAATCACTGTTAATATTCAGCTACAGATCCAGTTAACTATAAAGTTACCTGGCCAGACAGGGAGCATGCCAAATTCTCAAATCCAAGGAGTTTTAGATATTTGGTCAGCTTTTGTAGATGTGGTTCCTCCAAGAGATCTTGATATTTTTCAAGAAGGATATGAATTCTCCTCATGACTTGAACAGCTTTGCTTAAATCTTTAGATTTGTTTCCTTTAAAAAAAAAGCAGCCTACTGTTATCTGAGAGCTGATCGTATCACTGAGAGAATTCTGATATCAGGTATTTTCAGAACAGACCTTAGCCACATTTATAACAATTAAAAGATTAATTTTATTTAAAGACAGCTAGACAAAGACGACTCCGTTCACCTCTACAATGAGTGCCACTGAAGACCAAGGACCCAAATAATTCTGTCTGCTTCTGCATACTCATCTATAAAAAGAAGTCATACTTCTGACATCTACACAATAACTGAGCTCCCCCATTTTACTTTCCTGATGCACAAATTTGTTACTCAGTCTTATTAGCAACATATTTCACTCCAATGTTTACAACTGTTCTGAACACGTTTAGAGCAGTGTGTGTTTGGACTCTCCTGACTGAGAGTATGGACTTAACAAGTTAATTCTGATGAAACAGAAGGCTACTTACCATGGCATCACAGATTTCTTGTGCAAATTGTCATTATTCAAACTGCAAGCTAATCACCTCAGCTAAATAAACAATCCATGATATATATAGATACATTTTACTGTGCATGCTAGATAATTATTAAAGATCTATAAATAAAATTATTTATGTATGCAATGTTTACAAACAACACAGGGAAACAGCTACAATCTAATTTCATTGGATACTTCACATCTTGAAATTGCAAAAGGGGATCAGAGCCTGTTAACACTTAAAAGCACCTTTCATGTTCCTGAAACAGGGCTGTATTTACATGTCTTTATTACAGCTGAGAATGCCCAAAGTCACCCACTGTCTTGGTTAAAGGAAGTGGAAGTTGACTACTGAACGTGAATTTGGCTATCATACCTTGCTCTTTGCAGTGTTTCTTCCACACTTGTAAACAGGCAGACAGTGCTGTCATTTCTATGCTGAACTTCACAGATTTACTTTTAAAGGTCTTGAGAAACTTCTCCAATTTATTTATTCCAACAGTCTGGTTTTCTTTTATTTCCTTTACAGTTGTCATATATAATGCTTGCCATTGCTTCTGTTCTTTATCTTCTTCCTTAGCTTTTAGTCGCCTGTTGTTTTCCTCTGTAATTATTTCCACTTTACTTTTCTATCCAATAAAATAAAGATATTTAGAAATAACCATCACTCTGTCCAAGCATCATCTAAAACAAGCTAATCACTCAATCACAGCAGGTGCTTTATAATTTTCAACTAATCTGTACGATGCATTGTGTTTTGGGAATTTTTTTAATGAAGTCATTTTGAAGAAGACATAATGAATCCCAATATATGTTGCTCATAAGACCTTCCCTAAACTTCATTTTAAGCCAGTATAAAGCTTCACAAGTAGTATAAAAAGAAAAAAATGTAGAAAAATATAATAAGAAATGTCTAAAAGTTAAATTTCAAGCTTTCATTTTATACATGGCTAATAGTAATTCTGATCATATTTGGATGCTTTTCAGTAAGTTAAATAAAATTAAGAGTTTAAAGTTACTTAAAGTTATTTTATATACAGAGTTTTAGTGGCAATGCAACAGTCCACAATCTGTAATCCATACTACAGGTTATTATGAAATGTTACTCAAATTACCATTGCTCAGTATTGTTCACAAGTATGCAAGCACATGCTACATACCCTATGATGTCTGACAATGTTCACATAGCTAGGATTAATCGCAATATCTACAGGATCTTTCACAGAGTATGTTTCCAAATAGTGCAAGGAAATAAGTAATTTAATAATGGGGTTTTTTCTAGTATTTCTCAAGTTTCTAAAAGTAAAATTAAATTAATGAAATCCAGTTTCCCTCACTCCACATTATAACACTGATCATGTGCCAAAACCCCTTAACCTTCACAGAGTTCATATTTATTATTTTTTTTTACCTGTGCCTGTTAAAATACAATCACTCATCAGTATTCTTAACTAGGAACAAAAACACATTTGTCAATTAGCTAATTAGATTTGAAGTACAAAACAAATTTGAATTTCTTCAATTGTGAACCACTAGTACATTCAGAATATAAAACTTCAGCTGCGGAACTCATATAGTAGAAATCTTTTCCTGGATAGTAGAAAAAAATATTTTGAAAGAGCAACTTGAATATACTCACGTGCTTCTTTTGTGCCTTTTTGACAGCAGAATTAGCATTCTCTGACACATGCTCTTGATATACAATATGTTTGGAAGGGCTGTCTTCCAGAGTGCTTCCATAAAAGTGACGAAAAGTCTGTAACTTCTGTATTTCTCTTCTTTCTTTTGGACTTTTGGATTTTGCTGCAAACAAATATAATTGATTAAAAAATGCTCTGATAGGATTCCAGACTAATCTGTTACCAACCAAAGATAGCTGGGTAATTGACAAATTTCCTAAAAAAACTCCTAATTGACCTAAAAGATAAAATCTCATGTTGAAAAAGGCTGGCTAGTAAGACTCACTGAAATCCAACAGTACTTTGGTCTATCTGAGAGACAGGCAATAGACCCAAATTGAAACTACTTTAGATGCACGTTAAAAATATTGGAAAACTTAAAAAACAGGATGTCTGGAAATTATTACTCTTTGAGTCTATGAAAATAGAAAGGTGTCTTCTGAAGGCAATTCAAATGATCAGAAAGATACTTCTTCCCCAAGAAAACAAGAGTCTGCCATCAGAACATAAATAAATAAATCTGCTGGAACAACACTTATGCTAGGCAATGGAAGATTCTGAACTGAGCACATGAATACTTCCACACTCAAGCATCTGTCTTTCTCTGTCCTAAAATCAAAATGGTGAGTCTGCTTCTGAGTGTGAAGACTTATCTCAATAGATAAGAATATTCATGCAAGGTACGCATGGATTGGTCATAAACCTTCAACATTATAGAAAGTGCTCTAGATACTGTTCTGCAGGGGATGCTCTCCAAACTTCCCACTGAAATCACAGTGTACAGAATGCAAAAAATCATCCAGTCAAAAACAGGAGGAGATGGAATTTTGGTTTCATAGGTCAAGTAATACAAATACCCACTCAGGAAACAGTATTTCTAAGTCACGGAATAAAAACCATAATCAACCTTAGAAGCACCAACAGTAACCCATGAATTCTCAACTTCTGGTAGGTTTTTCACAATTTCATTCACCGCATGATGCTATTGATGATAGAAATATCTTTGAGAGAAATTTTTGAGTACTTCCTGCTATATACAGTATTGTATAGCTAATTTCATGTAAATTTGCCAATCTAAGTTCCAAGCTAAGTCCAAGGCTTGTTTTCGGTAGTATTGCAAACTGGAAAGAACTTAATAGGAAATTATAATGTGTAATATCAAGAATAATACAAACTTAAATTTACTTCTTGCTGGTTTTAGTGGAATAGAGTTAATTTTCTTCATATCAGGTGTATTATTGCTGAGCAGTGCTTACACAGAGTCAACACGTTTTCTGCTGGTGAGGGGCCTGGTGGCGCACAAGAAGTTGAGAGGGAACACAGCTGCGACAGCTGATCCAAACTGACCAGTGGGAGATTCCATACCATATGGTGTCATGCTCAGCAATAAAATTTGGGGGAAGGAATGGGTAGATGTTTGGAGCAATGAAACTTGTCTTCCCAAGTAACTGTTATGTGTGATGGAGCCCTGCTTTCCTGTGGATGGCTGAACACCTGATTGCCCATCGGAAAGAGTGAATTAATTCCTTGTTTTCCATTGCTTGTACATGTGGCCTTTGCTTTACGTATTAAACAGTCTTTATATCAACCCATGAGTTTTGTCACTTTCACCCTTCTGATTCTCTCCCCCATCCTGCTGCAGCTGAGGGAAGTAAGTGAGTGGCTTTGGGGTGCTTAGTTGCCGGATGGGGTTAAACCACAACCACTTCTTTTACTTCTTATTTTAATTCTGTTCTCAAAAGATAAGATTGGCTATGCACGCACTGTGCAACCATCTGGGTAGATTTTCCACATACGTGAATGTGCTCACTAACCATTATCCTAACTATATATTTAAACATTAAACTTCATATGGACATAGTTTGTATAAATCTGTGAAGCATTTTGCAGGCAAATGGGAATATATGATGAACATCTGACCATGGGTGCTCATTCTGTTATATTCAGACCAATTTAAGATAATACAAAATTCATGCACATGATGCACAGGTGTATCAGTTTACGTGTAATTTGGCTACTGCAGTAGCTCCAGTTTGGCAGGTATTTGTACAGCTGCAAATGTTTTCTGAAATGAGAAGTCCTTCTGCAAAACCATGATAACCTTTACAGTAATGTTCTGTCCAATACAGACCCATGGGCTTTGTGTTAGTTATTCTTACCATCAGCATTGCATGGCACTCGCTCATATTCCTCAGTCAAAGGTCTATCAGAATGCCAGTGATGACGTTCATCGAATTCCTTGTATTTAATAAGTGAAGTAATTGCAGGGTCATTGCTGAAATATATAAATATGAAATAGAGCAGAAATTAAAAGGGTTTTCTAGCTTCTCTCATGAAACATTTGAAAATTGGGTCTTTATCAAAACACAGTTTTACTGTGTAGAAAAACAACAAAGGGTTTAATTCTATCCCAAATATAGTGTGTTAAGATAGCCTCAATTTTTCATAAAGAAATACTAACAAGTAAAACACCATTTTTTCATTTATTTTCATACAGATTAATCACAGAATGAAATGTAACTACATAATTCACACAACTATAAAATACTCATTACATAACACAAAACCCACTTCCACAAATAGCACAGCAAATGTAGGATAACTTCTTCTTACTTTTTTCAGTATTTTTATTTAATGTTTTTCTTTTCCTGAAATCAATATGAGCCTTGCAAATTACGATAAGGCTTTTCAAACACAAATTTTACATTTAGAAAAACAGTTCCAGAATGTAGACTAACAAAGACTATAATGCAAACAAATAACAGTATGAGAAAATAAGGATATATTTACTCTTAACCATTCTTGTTCTGAATTTTCTGTTAATATTTATACCAATACATGTAAACATGTATGTGACATTTTACCCAGGTATAATGAAAAACATTTCTACATTTGTAAAAATTTAGCATAGTATGGATGCAAAGTGCAGGGGAGTAGAAAATCAGCCCATATAATGTTATTTCATTAGAAAAAAAACCATATAGGTACCTTTTTAAAACAGGTAGGTCTTTCAAAACATCTCCAACATAATCTTGAACAAGATCAGATTTCACTGGGATTAGTCCAATGTTAGGAATTTCTTCTTCACAGACTTTACAGTGTAAAAAAAATATTGTTTAATTAAGAATATATATAATTGAATATCATTCTTAAAAATTCTGTCAAGTTACATTATAAATTAAATTCTGTAAATTAAAATTTACTAAAAGTAATCAGCAGTTCACTAGTTCCACTTTTCTTTTTTCTTCTCAACCATGCAAAGAGTGTAGCAGACATCAATATCGCTTTCAAGTAGTTGTTCTCCTGACCCATTTTAGACACCTGTGCTACTTTCTGAATGCTACAACCAATCCCATCTCACACGCATTTGTGTTTCTGCACTGGTTCCATAAAGATCACAGTCTCCTAAATACGGACTTTCAAACCGCACTTACGTTGGATGACTAAAGACTACAAGTAACATTGTGTATCCTTGGCACATTTGAAGTCTAGCCACATTTTTGGTCTTCAGCCAAAGGAGATACAGAAATAGGCAATACAATTGCCAAAAGATGCCCTAATATCACACAGAAAACAAAGAAACTTTTTTGCCCACTAGATCCCACTTCGCCCACTTGAAATCTTTGAAACCAGCTGAAGAACGCTCACAAATTTAAGCAGAATTCCAGCCTTTACTGACTTTTTTATGAACTGTCTCTTCTAAAGATTTATACAATTTCTTAAGTTTAAAACAAATATTTTAAGGCTGTTACAAGCTGGTTCTCAAGAAATGTCAGATATCTGGCAAAAAATTCTACCTAATCCTTTCAGATATTCAGAACAGGTCTTGTATGTGAGGGAAGAAAACCATCCCTGAGCCAATCATGCATTTCCCCAATTATGGGCTACAGGATGATGGTGTAATTTAAGACACTTATGGACAACTCATACTTCTAAAATCATCAAGAATTGCAGTGTGAGCTACAGTGATGGCTGGACTCTCTACCATTAAGGTAACAGTTCTATATTCCACTTAATTTGCTGATTCCATGCCAAATATCTGCATAACATGTCAATGTCAAAGATGTTCCTCAGAGACAGTCTTTCTGCAGCATAATCATTACTTTAAATATGAGTACTTAATATGTTTTTTTACTACTACTTGTATTACACTACTCAACGTTTTTTACAATACATACAAGAGATTTGGGCTAGTAGTCGTGGAACTAAACCCAATTCCCCATGAAGTTAATAACAATACTTGTGCTGTCCACAGTGGAGTCAGAACTTCACCCATAAGGCCACGTCAGACTTCTTTTTGCATCAGCTGCAGGTTTTGCTCGTGGGTTGGAAGGATGGAGAAGATCCATGAAGCATGGATGAATTTGCGATCACAATAAAATCAGACCACCACTCCTAGCACTTTCAGTGATACCAATGAGGATCATGCTTTTAAAATTAATGTGCGGAGTTGCCAGTACCTCTAAATAATGTCTGCTCCTGTTCAAGAAATACTTGGGATGTTTTTCGTATTGGGAAAGCATCTCCAAAACTGTATTTCACTGCCAATTTTTTTACAGCGTCCCATAAAAATTGGTAGTCATTCTCCATTTCTTTCCCCAAATCCTTTTGGAACTCTAATCCTGCAAAGGAAAGGTGGGGGAGGGAAGTTGCTTTAAAATTGAGTTTACTCGAACTAAACCTATCTATTTACCTATGCAGCATCAGGCACAAAAACTTCACTTTTATACTAGGGCTTTAGTCACTAGAACAAATTAGAACAGAATGTTGTACACTCACAGTTTTTAATAGCCCAGAGTGTAAATAGGGAAATGTACTGAGAATACGTGTTTTGGAAAAAAAAAAACAGATTTAGACTGTCTGTGAAAGTTTGCAAGCTCTACTGCTAAAGAAGAGTTTCTCTGACCTTTGCCTCCTGCAAGGTAGAATCTTGAATTGATATTTTTTTTTAGTGCCCAATAAGAGGTATCATTATAAAAATAAATGTTTTGTATTCCTAATTTATATTTTCTTTAAAAATTCCTCTACACTTGCTTTACTGAGGTACATACAGGACCTCTTGTAACTAGATTTATAAAGTGTTCTGGTTTACTACCACACAGACAGACTCATGGCAGAGGATTACCAACAAGCAATTACTCTGAAAGAACATTTGCTACAAATCTTTTGCCGTATTTTCTTTTTCTGTAAGATTTGGTAACTTCTTTTGCTAATCTTAACACATCTGATGGTGTTCATAAAGCTCCAGCTCCCAAATTACTGTACGTTTAAGACAATATGTGACCTTGTCTGAATCAATCTCATCTGAAATTAAAGTATTATTCAATGTCACAGTGACAGTAGGGATTAAATCTAGTTTCTGACTGTGTTGCACTAAGATGAAATTAATAAAAAACTGGCTAAAAAACAAACAGAATTGAGAACACCCAATAATAGTGACCCAGAACTCTTGCTACCTATGTTATATCACTCTTTTATGTATTAGTACAGGTGGCACATTAGAGATATGATATGATAAAGTATTCTGAATGAGTACTGGTATAAGACACTTGCACATGTGATTTTCTGAACTTGGTTACAGAAAAAATGTTTCCTTATTATTCCATGAAATGTATCCATTGCTCTATGGGTCATTAGAAAATTGTGCTCATTTCTGCCCATACAAGTAGTTTTATTCCCATTTTGCAGCTTAATAAAGTAAAAAATATAAGAAAGTAAACTGTTCAACAATGATAAATACCTTTAGTGTATTCGACCTCATAGTAATGTGCAAGATTTATGAGCAGTGACTCATCATTTAAATCAGGCAGGTAAGTTAAATCCAATTTCCAATCATTTGTATCACACAGCTGTACCAGAGCAAAATGCATACACAACTGTTGCTGTTAAAAATAAAGCAAACAATTAATTCTTATGGAGCACCTTTACATGTGGAGGTATCAAAGCATCTCCAAAGGAAGGTTAACTACCACAGATTTATTGACACAAAAAAACCACATTGTTACTTGACTTCTCTGTGATCAGAAAACTGCCTTCACGGTTCTCCTTCACTGCAATAACCAACTTTAAACAACGAAAGAGTCTAACAAACTTGCCATACTGGATGAGACTAAAAAGTCCATCTAGTCCAGTACCCTAACAGTAACACTGACTAAATGCAGATGTCCAAGAAGAGGTCAACTACTGAGATCTTGCCCCAAACATTCTCCTAGCTGCACTCATTTGTGGCTCACAAGATTCCTGAACCAGGTATGGTTTCACAGAATCACAGAATGGGTCAGGTTGGAAGGAACGCAGTGGGTCATCTTTTCCAACCTCCCTGCTCAAGCAGAGTCATCCTAGAGTACATTGCACAGGAATTGTGTCCAGACAGTTCTTGAATATCTCCAGTGAGGGAGACTCCACAACCTCTCTGGGCAATATGTGCTTGGTCACACAGTAAAGTTCTTCCTCATATTCAGGTGGAACTTCCTGTACATCAGTTTCTACCCATTGCCTCGTGTCCTACTGCTTGGCAACACCAAGAAGAGCCTGACTCCATCCTCTTGATACCCTCCCTTCAGATACTTACAGACTTTAATAAGGTCTCCTCTTAGTTGTCTCTTCTCAAGGCTCAACAGGCACAGCTCCCTCAGCTTGTCCTCTTAAGAGATACGCTCCAGCCCCCTAATCATCTTTATCACCCTCCACTGTACCTGCTCCAGGAGCTCCATGCCTCTCTTGTATTGAGGAGCAGTACACATACATGTACAAATGCAGTGCTGTGTAGGGCTGAGTAGAGGGGTAGGATCACTTCCCGCAACCTGCTGGCAACGCTCTTCCTAATGCACCCCAGGATACCACTGGCCTTCTCAGCCACAAGAGCACACTGTTGGCTCGTGGACAGCTTACTGTCCACCGGGACCGCCAGGTCCTTCTCTGCAGAGCTGCTTCCCAGCAGCTCAGCCCCCAGCCTGTACTGGTGCCTGGGGTTATTCCTCCCCGGATGCTGGACCCTGCCTTTGTCTTTGTTCAACTTCAGACAATTCTTCTCTGCCCATTTCCAACCTGTTGAAGTCCCTCTAACGGGCTGCACAGCCCTCTGGGGTATCAGCGACTCCTCCCAGCTTTGTGTCATCAGTGAACTTGCTGTGGAGGCATCTACCCCTTTATCCAAGTCACTGATGAATGTTAAACAATACTGGGGCCAGTATTGAACCTGGAGAGACACCCCTAGTGACAGGCCTCCAACTAGACTCTGTTCCACTACCACAAACCTCTGACCACAACCAACTGCCCTTTAGCCAGTTCTCAATCAACCTCACTTTCCACTCATTCAGCCTACACTTTCCATGCTGGCCTAGGAGGATGTCATGGGAGACAGTGTCAAAGCCTTGCTGAAGTCTAAGTAAACAACATCCACTGCTCTCCCTTCTTCTATCCAGACAGTTGTTTCATCATAGAAGGCAATCAGGTTGGTTAAGCATGATTTCCCTTTGATGAATCCAATCCATGCTGACTACTTCTGATCCTATTCTTGTCTTCCACATGCATAGAGATGATCTCCAGGATGAGTTGTTCCATCACCTTTCCAGAGACTGAGGTGAGGCTGACTGGCCTGTAGTTCCCTGGTACTCCTTCTTGCCCTTTTTGAAGACTGAGGTGACACTTGCTTTCCTTCAGTCCTCTGGCATCTTCTCCAGACCGCCATGACCTTTCAAAGATGATTGAGAATGGTCTTGCAATGACGTCTGCCCGTTCCCTCAGCACTTGCGGGTACATCCCATCATGGTACATGGACTTGCAGATGTCAAGTTTGACTAAATGGTCCCTAAGCCAAACCTCCTCAACCAAGGAAAAGTCTTCATTCCTCCAGATTTTTTCCATGGTCAATTGGGTCAGGTATTTCTGAGGGTAGGCCTTGACAGTGAAAACTGAAGCAAAGAAGGCATTCAGTATCTCAGCCTCAGAAACAAACAAAGGGTTTGTTTCCAGTGGGTACATTACGTTCTTTAATCTCTTCAGATGACTGAAGCAGGATATAAAGGAAAATGAAAACTGAAATGACAATTGCACCCTATGTCAGAGGAAGTTAAGACGGTGCTACACATACCATTTTTAACAGTGGTAAAACTTGCTTTGTCCAGCAGGATTTCATGTCCCTAATCTGAGCTCTCTGTGAAAGAGGCATATGAAGAAGAAAAGTCACTGTGAGACATTGCATTCTGCACAGGTCAGCTGCTTCTTCAGGAGATACGTGTTTACTTCTTCTCTGTTGAGAGATGACAGATAAAAAGTTGACCACATCCTTCATTAGAATAATTGTGTTCACCACTACTTAATTCAGTGGTATGCAATTTGTTAAAGCAGCTAATAATTTAGACCTATTTGACCATTTTAACTACTTGTGGTCACACTTAGTTAAAAATGAACATTCTTGTAGTGCTGGTAGATGCAGATCAGTTATAATGTTAAAAAAAAAATCTCTTTTCCAAAGAGGAATATGACTATGAAAACCAAGACAAAACTTGAAAACAATTTTCAGTTTGTCTGACTAGAAATGTTATTATTTTAAGAGGAAAAGTTAATATCTAGATATAGGCCTATGCTCTTTTCTCAACTGCACTGCAAAACTCAGTACAGAAATTGAGCTCTGCTAACTAACTACTTGTAGCTATCCTCTAGTCTACTGAATATGTCTATAATAAAATATTACTGATATATTGCATCTGTGTTAACTTGATGAAAATACAAGGCTCGTAGTATGGTCACAAAAATGACCACACATAGAAAGAAACCTTTATACTGAAATGTCTCGCTAACTTGAGGAAAAGCATATTCTTCTATGAAAGCTAGCATAGCACTGAACGTTAGGAAAAGAAAAATAATGAGTGCAACTACCTTCTTAAGATAAAACTTTCTATGAAAGTAATTGTTCCTAAGGTAAAACTTTTCCCAGAAACAGCCACTGTGACAGGGGGGCCAGTGCCACCCACAAAGAGACCATGCCCCTTTGAAAAGCTGTGACCATAGCAGTTATTTGACCCAAACCATTTAGTGCAATCACAAAGGAGGCACCTGGGCCTCTCTTCAGCTTTTTATCTAGAAGGACAGCCATCTCTCCTCTTAGCAAAATGCTTAGGGTTACCATGCTGAGAAGATATTTACGAAATTCTTACTCTTGCTGATTGCATTCCGTTTGCTCCCATAGGAGTATTTGCATTTCCCAGCACGCTGCTGTATATTTTTAATCCCACAGCACAAGCAAGAACACAGACCACACGGCGAATATCAGATCCTTCAGGCCACAGTTGTTTCAACAAACGGATAGCCTGGCAAACCTGTAGTCATAACATTATGAATAGCATAAATTGTCACCATAATAAAAATTACAAAGAAAAAAGACTATTCTTATTTTATACAGAGTTTCATCAAAGAAGGGGAAAAAATGGATAAAAAACTGCAGAAGAAAAAGTGGGCACAATCATTAGTAAAAATTTCCCCTTTTTGCCATGTCGCTGAGGGCACCAACAGCCCTGACTGTACCTGCCTGACCCCTGCGACCTCCTCTCACCTGCCCTGGGTCCTACCTCAGCCCCTTTCAGGCTGTCAGTCCTGCCCCAGCAATGTAGCAGCAGTGCTGGCCTCTAGCTCCCCACAGCCCTGCAGGCTGACAACCTGCTCTGGCCTCAGCCCATCCCAGCCTGATGCCCAGGGTTGCAGATGTCCCCCAGCTGTCCTGCTCTTGCCTGGGGCAGTGGGTCAGGCCATGGCTCCCAGGCCCTGCCCTGCCCTCCCAGGTGACCTCCCACGGCCCCAGACTCGAGTGAGCAGCCATCTGCCCTTCCTGCACCCTGATGTGGTTCTGCTCCTGGGGTATTCAATTCCTGACTGAGCCTCAGAAAAGATAATTATAATTAAAAAAATATTGGCAGTAGCTGGGCTTTAAAATGCTTTCTGAGTAACACTATATTTTTCTGGACTAAAAATTCACTTTGTTAGACTAGTATCATTCCCACTGAAGTCCAAGGAAGCCTTGCTGTTGTCCTCTGAGGGAGCAGAAGTAGGCTCACAACACGGCAGTGTAACTTTATGCTCAGGAAAATGGCAGGAGTATATTAGGCATTAAAGGTGTCTATGTAACCATAGAAATAGCAATTTTTTGAAGTTCAAATATCGTAGAACCACTGCTTTAATCATGCAAGTACAGACCTTACAACTCTAATCTAGCTCTTGAAAAAAATTCCCAGATCATGAATAGTCAACTGAGTGCGCAAACCTTAGCAGCTGCAATAGTGAGGTTTAGATTTTGAGACACATCCCTAGAGAAGAGGTTGCTGATGGCAGCAGCACTTACTCTGGCCCACTGCTGCTGCCATGGGGATGGGGCAACGGCCACAGTGCCTCCAGAGGGTAGTAGCTGCAGCCCCCACAGTGGCTAATGGTGTTTCATGCTAAATGGGCTGGTTTCTATCTTCTTCAAGACAAGGCGTTTGCTGAGACAGAAACAACCCTTAAGTGGCATCCCACGGATCAGCTTTCAGCTGAATCATGCTACTACAGTGAACTTTAAAGAAAGAACAGTTTCAAGCTGCTGTGAAGAAGAGTGGCCACAGAGAAGACCTTCTCAGACTTAGGGCGTCACTTCAGGATAAGGCAGAGAGCTCCTAGTTCTGGTTAGAAAATAATTTCAGGTAAAGGAATGAAGGAAGACAGTCAACAAAAAGAGGAAAAAAAAAGAAAAAGGATCAAAGAGGTCAAATTACCTCTTTTTGTATGCTTTTCAGGTTCAGCTTGAGATGTTCATATAGATGGATCAAAGGTTCTTTGTGCCTGACTAGGTTTTCACAGGCACATCGCAGATCTTGTTCATACTAAGAAGTCAAAGTTATATGCAAAAGTCAATAGATACAATGCATTAGGGACTACTAGGCACTGACAGAAACCATTAAGATATAAGCAAATCCTCAGCCTCCAAGAAAAAACTGACTAGAATTTTAAAAATCACATCACTGGCCTAAACACTAGTCTTCCTCTGGCATATTATAAGTCAACTAAGACAAGTGATAGTGAAGATAAGGGAAAGGCTACATTAGGGACTATCATATAGAAAGTGAAAAAGGATGTGAAATGAGACTATAGAGAACAGGGCACGAATTTGCCACCAATCACAAAGTTTACCTGTTAGTGATTTCGAGACCAGTAGATTAAACAAAAAAGCCACATATCAATTCTTTATAATATTAATATGTAAATTAAAATACTCATATTGAGATATTTTATTTAAATCTTCTAATTCAAACTAACACTGTTATTGCAAACCAACAACAAAGTAGTGTAGCTTACCATTTGAAAAAATGATCTGTGTTTATATACACTCTGAACGTGATATCCATAAACTCTAAGAAGATCATACTCCTGTCCTGAAGCAAGCACAACATTGATTTTCTTTGACAATGAATGAGCAATTAAAACAGATAAAAAGTCTGTTTGGCGAGAGCTCAGTCCTGTGTCAGATACGATGATGAAGTAAGGATAGCTTTGCTTCAGGAAAATCTCCCACTTGGATGATAAACAATTGGAAAATTCTGTATGAACAGTTATGCTTGTATTATGCCTCAGGTGTTCTATTAATGCAGTACGTAAGAAAAGAAAATGAGGATACTGAAAGAACATCTGCTCTGCATCCTGTGGGAAATAAACACAATGAAATTATTCAGTTACATTTGTTGACACAATGAACGGATTCCTCATCCTGATTAGAATCAAGCAGTTGATTTAAAAGGAATGCAGTGGTTTAAACAGAAAAAAAATGTTATTTATTCAGTACCTTGAAGAAAGTAATGACGTATCTTGCTCCTTTTTCAGCGAAATCATGCAGAAAGCATTCAATTTGGTAGAAGAAGTTTAGATATTGTGTTTTCTTATCTATAAACATAAGTAGTAAGGAATCCCCATCTATTACAAAGAATTCAGACTCAACAAAGTCTTTTAACAGACTGACATACCTGAAAGAAAAACACAAAACATGTACCTACCATTACTGCAAGAAAAGTTGGGCACATGAGATAGAAGAAATTTTCTTACTAATACATTAAACATTAAATGTATAAATAAAATCAATAGGAAATCAACTTTCTTGGATCTAACTCCTAAATAGCTTGCAATCCTTTCAGTTACTGAATGTATTAGAAATTGTCTCCTTTACAATTCCAGATACTTTTGTAGCATCTGAGGTTTTTGTGACTTATATAACACCCTTTGTCCATGCCTGCTTATGCAGGAAGCGTTATCTGTTCTAAAAGAAATACCCCACAGGAAGTAATAACAAAGTATATTTTGAGAGCCTTCCTGCCTGAGCTTTAACTAAAAATAGCAACTATCACGACAATGACGACTACCTCCCTTATCCAAGGAATGTCTATTGCAGAAAAACACGTTAACAGCAAGAGAATCCAACCACAATCCATTACTTCAAGAGACCAAAGAATTAAAAAATTCTTCATCCAGTTCCTATTTCAGATAACTATGAGAGTTGATAAAATTTTCATTAATGAGTCTTAGGTCAAAATTTAAACAAATCCCTTGCATCTGAACATGGTAAGTATAAACCTTAGTTTTTAATATATCCTAGGAATTGAATGCATTCTTCAGTTCCTTAAGAATCCATGAAAATCCAGCAACATGATGTTGGATTCATGCAGTCAGAATAACTTTTGTAGGCCCAGATGAGGAAATGGCAAGCTCTTCTATTAAAGCTTCTCTGCTTTCATGTTTGCCTATTACATATGACACTGTTTATTATATATTACAGTGCTAATGCATAGTAGGAGAATATACTCTAATAGTACAAATGTGCTTGTTTTCTTCAAGGCTGTCAAAAATGCTGGATACTCACCTTAGTCCCACACCTGAGAAGACCTAGCTTTCCTTTCTGGTTGAGATAACAGCTTTTGATTCACAGTCCCAGTTTGCTATCTGATGCAATGAGTAGCCTTCCACGAACAAAAAGTATGCAGACTTCTTACACATTTGTCTGCCTTTATTTAATATTAATCTCTTAGGTGAGCTCAAGAATGCAGAGGAGACACTTCAACGGCAATGTGAGTGTCACTACTGGTAATTCCTTTCCCGTATCAAGCAGGGAAAGGAAACCAAATCTGGAGAAGCAGAAGATCATGCATGAGAACTGACATGCAAAACTATAGAAGGTATAAATGAAAAGGAAAATTTTGTAGGCAAACTGTTTTAGATACTGTAAAAGTAGTAGCCTTAAAATATGTGAGGAAAAATTCTCAAAAAAGCATGACAAAGAATTTGAAAAAAAATAAATTGTAATAGTTAAAATTGTAGATCAGTTCCCAAACATGCAGACAATCCCTACTCTTTGGGCAGACTTTCTATTATACTAGGAATCTTCCTTCATGTGGCTAGAGGAAGTATGAAATCCTAAGCATGCCTTAGGTCTCCTGTTTTTCCACAAACCTAGGTGACAAGCACATAGCTCCTTTCTCTAAGGGGTACTACACTGTGATGTCTACTTAGTTCAAAGAAACTATTTCTATTACCATTTATTGCATTTTTTTCCCATGAACCCCATGGTACTTACTGAGCCTTTGATAGGGATGCCCAAACGTGTATCCTCAACTTCTTCAGAAATTCATGACATTTTCTCATTCCTAAAATAATCACATACATGGTTATGGATAGAACCATATAACCTTAACTCATCAATTAATTACAAAAGAGTCAAAATGTAAGATAATGCAACAGACATGAGCATATGCTATTAGCAGCTCCTCACCATGGCTTTGGGAATCATGTTCATGCTGGACAACTCTGAAATCTTTATCTTCAGTTTGTGATGCTTCCTGTTTCACTTCTTCAATGCTACTGTAATTTATGTTGTTGACTTCTTTTTCTCTATCTACCTCTTTTTTAAGCATCCGCAAAACAGCTGCTTCCACTTTGTCACTGATCTTATCCTCTTCATCAATGTCAATTGTACTCCCTCTGTCTTCATCTTCCTTTGTTGCAATGAAGCCCATTTTCTCACTGTCACTACACACACTGTCCATATCATCGCTACTCTCATTTGTATCTTCATTAAGAACTTTCTTGGAATGATATTCTGCAGAAGCCATCACAGATCTTGATTCTGGCATCCAGAAAAAGAAAACTCTAAGTAATGAAGAGATAATTTTCAGGAAATATAGTATGCTCTTTGGCTCCAACCATTAAATTACCTACTTTGTAATCATACTGGAATAAATTTTAAGAAAAAACAGGAAGCCTTTTTTTGAACATCCCTGAGAGACATATTTTCATTCTAAAAATAATAAATAATTTAATGAAATGCAAGGAAAACATCAGTTTGTATTTCTTAATATATACTAAAGAGGAGCATTACATATTAGCTTTGCACTTTGCAAAAATGGACCCTTGGGGAGGTTAGATATAATTTATTATATTAGGTATATCTACATGGCACGTTCCAAGGAATGATTCATCTTTCCCGATTCAAGTGATTTGTACCCACACTGCTCATGCTAGTCCAGTCACAAATACACATGCCACAACATCTTCACTGCATGATGGGAGTAATCATGGTTTGGCATCAATCCTACTTCTTAAATCAGTTTTACCTTTTTTCTTTTTTGTTTTCCAGGGGTAGAATTCTCAAACCAAGTAAGCACAGAACTGTAATGGTTACGGTAACTCCATACTTCACTAGGTCACAATGTTCAGTTCCTTTGAGGTAAAAAGCAAACAAGTAGCTTGGGATAACACTGCACAGTCCCTACCACATCAGCTCCGCTCTTCTGAACTTCAGTTTTCCCGAACTTCCACTTAGGTGACAGACTCATGCAGTACTTATTGTTGCAGTATTTGCCATTGCAATATTCACACAGAATCAATTAGGTTGGAAAAGGCCTCTGAGATCATAGAGTCCAACCTGTATTCATATGCCTTTAGATATAGCTACCCTTCATTTCCCTATGGCCATAAAAGGACTATATGATCTTTAGATGTCATTTTTAGTCTTATACTTTTTCTTAAAACCTTTTTTAAAAAATAATAAAAGAAAGCGAAATCTACATTTTTCAGATCTCACAAACAGAAAACTATGCCCCAGTTTTCTTTTGTGTTTTCCCCTTCCTTTAGTATAAGTTCCTTGCAAAAGAAGCTGCAGAAAAAGGGAAACAAAAATACATTTTTATTAATTACTTGTAAAATACCGTGCACATAATGTGCTATATTACAGTGGTGTGCTTAAGGTAACTTGAATTCTAATACCTATTTTCACAAAATGTAAGTTATTTGTACACATACATTTACACAAAATCATTTTCTGTGTACCTGCATAAGTACTTTTTGTCAAAGCAGCAATAAGCCTGAGACTTTTCTCCATTTTCTTATCTAAATTGGAAAAGTTATATCAAAGGCTTCAGTACACAGTTCTAGGTTGAATCATGTACTTCTTCATGCTGAAATTGTCACTAAGCGAGAAATTGGCCACCACTACTTCAACAATCTCCTAACCAAGAATGACTTTCTATTTCTGCAAATGTAAAGTCAGCCATTCTCAAAGAAAGAAAAACTGTATTTGTACATACGCATGTATGAACTGCTATACTCCTTTCAGAAAGAAAACCAACAAGGCTTAAATATTTTGCTACCTCGATGCTTTTCTTCAGTGCACACGCTGACATCTGAGGTGCCTGGGGCTACATGTGGGCAGAGGCAACCAGGCGTCTTTTACTCCCTGCCAGCGCTCCTCTTGACCCTCCACCCTGGGGAGAGCTCCCTAGCTGCTCGCAAAGTCCCAGGTGTTCCGCAGCATGCTGTCCAGCCCTAAACCAAACCCAAACCAACTGCAACCCTACGCAAACCTCAGCCCCAGCTCCAGCATCATGCCTGCAGCCAACCACGAGCCTCTCAGAACTAAGGCCGACCCTAACCCTACCCCAGGCTCAGCCCCAAACCCCACTCCAAAGGCAAGTCTAGCCACAAACTCTAAGCAAGCCCCGGCTCTGACAGTACCTGCCGCCGCCGCTGCTCCTCGCCCGGCCCGGCTCCGCCGCCCTCCCGCCTTTAAGGCGCCGTCGGCGGCAGCTCCGAGTTCGGAGCCCCGAGGGCGGCTCCTGGGGCGGTCCCACCGCCTCCCGTCTCACCAGGTTTCGGTTTTCTTTCCTGGCGCGGACCTGCCTTCAAGTTTTGGTTTCGTTTCCCAGGTGCCGGGATGAACTTCGGCCTTAGATACGGCACTGGAAAGCATCACGTGTACTTCCTGGAAAGCATCACGTGTACTTCCTCGCTTCCATCAAGCTATGCTTTTTCTGTCATGATGGCTTCAGCTAGTGGTCCAAGAGCCATTAAGCCTGCGTTGCTTAAGGGTATTGTTAATGTAAGCTGCATATACGGTGCAGAAAACACTAATTCCTGTTTCGGTCCCTTTATTCACTACAATCTCTTTTCCTACCAGCCTGCTTTCTTATAGTAGGAAATTCCACACAAAAATAAACTAGGAGATACATTTGATACACCTTTTTAGCATTTCCAGCAAATCCTTTAGCAGGAACAATACTGGTCCCCTATCACTTATTTTAGAATAGCAAAGCCTCAATTTGCAAGGGAATCTGGCTACCAAGTATTGTTGAAATAACATTTAGGAAACTAGAGTTTACATATCAGATTGTCTGGGCAAGAAGTGAAAAGCCTTTTTAGATCAGACAATTGTGTAGAATACAGCACAGAAAACTTCTGTGTAAGCAATCTCCTCATGAATCCAGGTGAGTTTTCAACAGCCTCCCTGGCAGACAGCTGACACATGGCGCTTTTCATGTAAGCAGATCAGAGGTCTTTTCCACACCCTGCATTTTCTTTGAGACCTGTACAAAGATTCCAGAAACTCAGGAGAACAATATATTTTACAGTGCAGTAACACAGTCATAGTTCTTCAGCATATCAGAATTGATACTACCCAAGGTAAGCCTCTACTCCCTCCTCTCAGCACACTTCCCTTTTCTTGGTAGGAAGAAATCTGGGAAATAATTGGATCTCTTTACTTCCTGTTCTCGAATTAAATGAAAGCTGATCTTTAGCCCAATGCTTCAGCAGATTTTTAATATAACTTAGGTCCTGAAGACGGACTTTTAGATTCAGTTCTCTAGCCCTTTGAAAGATGCATTTTGGTTCAGAAAAGTGTATTTTAGGTCTGCCATTCACTATTTTCTTGAGGAAGCTGGTGCCACCTCCATGAAAAAACATTCAAGAAAGAGTAAAAAACCACTTGAGCATAGGAACAAGGAGTGAGGGCAAACAAAAAGGGAAAAGTGTGAGAAACACTAGTGCAAACACTAAAAGTCAAGTACCCCCATGGAGGAATCTGTGCTGGAACAGGGAGATAGGCTTGAAAGAACCACAGCCTGTGGAAAGCTCACAATGGAGCAGATTTATCCTAAAGGACTGCAGCCCATGGAGAGGACTCACAATGGAGTGAGTCATAAAACTCTGTTATGTCCAGACTAACCCTCATAACTCTTACCTCTCCTCTACTTCACATGGGATCGGAGAGGGATAGAGGAGTCAGGAATGAAGGAGTGAAGTTGACCTGAACGGGAGTAGGGGGCATATGATGCGGGCAGTTGTTTAAAATTTTCTTCTTTGTTTCTCACTACCAAAATCTATTTTAATTGGTAATAGATTGAATTGCTTTTCCCCAGGTCAAGTTTGGTTTACTCGTGATGGTGAGTGGTAAACAGTCTCCCTGTCTTTATGTTGACCCACAAGCTTTTCCATATTATTTTCTCACCCCTCCTATTTGGGGAGGGGAATGAGCGTCTGGCGGTTGGCCAAGGTCAGCCCACCACAGTCTTTTAGATCACGCTACATAGTGCAAATAGAGACAGGGTACAGATACAGCCACAACAGCCATTCTTTGGAGAACTAATCAGAGTGCCTAAAATCATAGAGCCATTGGCAGTAACTATCTAATATAGAAAAACAACTGCAGAAAGTTTAACTTCAGACATTCTATGAAGGGGAAATTCAAATTATAACTGCTCAGCAACGGTAAAGGGAGATCAAGGAATGACTTGATCCTGACGGTGGGAAAGCATAACTCTAGAACCAGGTTGAACAATAGAAACAGGAATGCAAGAGGTGAAACAAGTCTATATAAGGGAGAACAAATTCCATTGTTGATAAAATAGGATATGCTAAAGTATTGATTTGTAATGATATGACTGGTACTAGCACAAGCATGTATAAGGAGTAGGCTCATGCCACATCTTTGCAGACTCCCTGTAGAACCTCTTACTGCAGTAGGACTCTGTCCAATTTATTGTTCATTAAATTACTTTCTACTTAAATACCAATGTGTATTTAATTTGCCTCAAGTGGTACAGTAAAAATTCTCCAACATTTACTTGAAGCTGTCAGGAGCCTCCAATTATAAACTAAGCTAAGTTAAGCTCTCTTCATTAAAATATAAGCGTAAATTCATATTTTGCATAAGTTGTGCCTCAACTAGTTTTGGAATTCAGTCCTATGTTCTATACAGGTGGTGGAAAGCCATGTTCAAACGGAAGAAAATTTTTCCCTGAAGATTAAACAAAATATAGGAATATTTTAATTTTTTTCATTAACCTTACTGTATCAACGCAAAGTACAGAAAGTAGTGATAAGAAATCTGGTAATGTTTTGATTTTAAACAGTAGTAAGTGTAACCCTCTGCTTGCCCCCATGCCATAAGTAACCCTCTGCTTGCCTGGTCTAACACCAGGCATAGAACTTCCATCACATTTCCCAGAGAATTGTTTCTTTCACTTAAAGAAACATTGGAAAATGAAAGGAGATTAAATGTGCACATTTAATGTGTACCTTTTATGTAGACAAAAAATACTTTGCTTAGTGTTAAGACAGAGTTACTATGAACAAGCTAAAGTTGTAAATTAGAAACAATTCAGTGTTACTCAATCATTTTAATTAATATTTTTACTGTGCATATTCCCACTGAATTTTCTAAGTGGTGAAACTCCAGTCATGGTCATATCTGTCCCTTTCTGAAACTCATATCCAATATTCAAAATTTCAGCTCAATTTCTTAAGATCAACTAGATTTTCATACATTTCTATTCGGTTTATAGGAATAAGGAAGGAGTCTTTCCTAGACTCCAGGGATCTGCATCTGCTCATAATGGTTTACCCATTCATGGGAAATCTCTGAAGTGGGTTTGCATGAACAAATTGCTCTGATTTCTAGCACTATTCTAGACAAGGCACAAGAAAAGGATCCCAACATTGGTTTTCCTCTGGAGTAGGGAGATATCAAGGTGTTTTGGAGAGGTGAACAAGAATGGGAAAACCACACCGAGGATGCAGGCAATGATTGCAAGGATGGGAAATGGGGTGCCAGTGCTGAATTGGTACTACTTGGCCAAACCCTACCGCCTCCCAGCACTGTTCCATGTCAACACAGCTTCATGTTGCGGTCTCTTTTGTGGATGTTGGCTCCACTGACCAACCTTCGGAGCCCAACAGACACTGGACAGGGTAGTGGGTCAGGACTTCTCTGCAATATGTCCATGTCTGTCTTGTACTGGAAAACCAAGAGTAGGACACAGCTCATGGGAGTGACCACTTCCCTCTATCTGCTGCCAATGCTTTGCCTACTTCAGCCCAGGATGCAGTCAGCCTTCTTTGCCTCAAGGGCCCTTTGCTGTCTCTAAATTGGTCAACTTGGTGTCCACCATGACCCTACGTGTCTGCACAGCTGCTTTACAGCTGGCTGTCCAGAAGCATCTACCAGTGCAAGGGCTTGTCCCTCAACAGGTGCAGGACTGCATTCTTTTCCTCATTGAACTGCAGGAGGTTCCTATCAGCCCCTTTCTCCAAACTGCCTGTTGAAAAGGAGCCCTGACAACTGGCTGAGAGCACTTGCAAAGTTGTGCAACACAGATGCTGGCTCCCAGCTGCCTCGAGCAATTCTGACCAATGGCTGTAGGCAACATCTGCTTTCTAACTTTGGGTTGCTGTTCCCTCAGGGTGTCTGAGAAGTTGCGTGTGGCCAATGTCCTACTGCTGAAGCAGCTTCTGCCCCTGCTCCAGTATATCGGCCACAACACCTTCACCAGCAGAATGAGTTGCAGCAATCTGACCATCTACCTGAGGTCAAACCTGATGAGCCCAGCCAGTTCCTGCTGGAGGTCATGCTGGATTAAGCAGCTGTCTTCAGCCTTGGCTGATCAGAGGTCTCTGTATGCCTTGTCCCTTGAGCAAATGTAGATTCAGTGGCTGCCTGGAAGAGCAGCCCCACAGCCACAGCCGCCTTTTGCACAGAAGCAAGGCTCAGGAGCGGTGAGAAAGACTGCTTGGTGTCTTTTCAGGGAGATATGTTGAAAGTAAGACTTTTATATGTGCAGGTGAAGGTACTGGTGGAGTTTCTGGTAGAGAACTGCAGAGAACTCTTTGGTGAGGAGAAAATTGACCTTTCTGGCCCAGTAGCAGAGGAGCCACTAGCCCCCAAACACAAACCCAGAGCTAAGAGGAAGGACTGAGGGTTGTCACAGGCTGGGCTTGGGGCACCAGAAACCTCAGAGTAATTTCTGGTAGGGCTAGGAATTGAGTGTTGAGCTTTCAGCCCCACTTGTCCTATGGTCTACCTTTGGCCACTGCCTCTTGGGACATAGTTTGCTCCATAAGATCAGGTGAAAACTGCAGACAGGGCACAAGAGGACTGAAAACAGAAGTAGAGTTTCTATTGGGTTTGGCTTCAGCTGTTGTTTACTTCTAAGAAAATACTTCATTGCATATGCTTTTGCTTTCTAGATCTGCATTTGGAAAAACAAAGCATCGCTGCAGTCCCACAGAACACCAAGCATCAGATAGAAGACTTTCCACATGCAGCTCCCCTTCTGCTTAGTATTCTCAAAGAAGTTGCGGGAGAGATGGTGGTGGCATCTGAAAGGGGAGAGGTATGTCAAGTCTGCAAACAACAGTGAAAGTGTAATGTCTGGTATAGTAGGGGAGTTTCTGATGAGGCCAAGTCACTGCTGTGCCTCTGCCTGGCAGCAGAGCTGGCGTGTGTTTGGGTTATTGTTTCACAGTCCCTAAAGTCAAAGAATCACAGTATATGCTGAGTTGGAAGGGACCCACAAGGATCATCAAGTT